GTCTGAGGCCAAATTTGAACTCAGGTCCTTTTGATTCCAGGGCCGGTGCTCTATCCACTGTGTCACCTAGCTGCCCCAGTTAAGACATATTTAAAGAGTAATACTGATAAACTTATACTGAAAAAAAAACTATCACAGTTTACAAATTACAAAGACCAATATTGATATGAAAATGAGTCTGAAGAAACTGAACTTGAAAAGCAGGTGATAAGTTACAAAAAGAGAAAAGAATATCCAAAGGAAAGGTTTAGTATGCTAAATAAGAGAATTATATCTAATTTGCTATCAAGATTCAGGGGGATGGCTGTGTGGAAATCTAATTAATAAACTGAAACATCCTCTAAATCATAGAATGCTTTCACTTAAAGAGGAAACCTAATTTAACCCTCTCAGTTTTGAGAAAGGGAAATTGAGGATGATTAGCTTGCCTCAATTTATACAACTGAGTTGACACCTGCTCTACTGTTCACCTTGTCTCATCATATAAAAAAAAACAGAAAAACTAATACAATAAAACAAATATTATTATATTTGTAATTAGTAGCATTTATATGACAAACCTAGCATTCCTTGAGGTAATATTTAATATCTTCATGAATCCAAATCCAGTACTCTCTGCATTATGCTACCTACCTTGAGAGAATGCCAAATGAGATGCAACACTGAATAACAATTTAATAAAAACTTTTAAAATAATCAATCTTATGTTTCTGAGAATGTGTTAAAAAGCTCCTTTAATGAGCTTAGCCTTCTTGAGAAAACAATGGCCAATCGTTTTATTTTTAATACCAATATTCTACCAACATTGCTATAAGGTAACAAGATGTAAAAAAAAGTCTCTGAAGAATTGAAAATTAATATCATATAGAGGTCAATGGAGAAGTATGTTGTGTGTATGATCAGATTGTAACATATAGCCAATGAAGAACTTTGAAGAACAGGAATAATACATGTCATCAGGGAAAAAATATGCTATGAAGAAAGATAAGTTAGTTACATGGCAAGAATAGCTGATGACAGTTGGACAACCACAACATTTCACTGGTATGCTTGTGATTTCAGGAGAAAGTGAGAAAGGCAGGTGCCCTTTGATGAACTTATGAGAGGACGCAGACAAGAGTCACATTGGATAGGCATATATGAATGAGTTACAATTGGCCTCTTTGGAGGCAATATTCAAATCAGTTGGATTACAGATTCAATTGAATATTGAGTAGTGAGAACATGAGCAAGTCAGTGGAAGGGAACAAAAAAATCCTCTGGGAATACTTATACTTCAATACTTCCAAAAGTGATTTGATTGCAAATTAAGAGAGTAAGGACTGGTTTACTTCTCAGATCTATGAAGAAGGGAAGAAATTCTGACCAAAGAAGAGATAAAGAGTCTTATGAGGTATAAAATGGATAGTTTTGATTACATTAAATTAAAAGACTTTTGCACAAACAAAACCAATGCAACCAAGGTTAGAAGTAAAGTAGAAAGCTTAAAAACATTTTTACAAGTGTCTCTGGTAAAAGCCTCATTTCTCAAATATATAGGCAATTGAGTCAAACTTATAAGAGTACGGGTCATTCCTCAGTTGATAAATGGTCAAAGGATATGAACAGGAAGTTTTCAGATAAAGAAATCAAAACTATCTGTAGTCATATGAAAAAATGCTCGAAATTACTATTGATTAGAGAAATGCAAATCAAAACAACTTTGAGGTACCACCTCATGCCTATCAGTTTGGCTAATATGATAGAAAGGGAAAATGATAAATGTTGGAGAAGATGTGGGAAAATTGGAACACTAATGCATTGCTGATGGCATTGTGAACTGATCTAACCATCCTGGAGAGCAATTTAGAATTAAGCCCAAAGACTATAAAACTGCATACCCTCTGATCCAGCAGGTCTGTATCTCAAAGAGATCATAAAAAAGGCAGAAGGAACTACATGTACAAAATATATTTATAGAAGTTCTTTTTGTGGTGGTGAAGAATTGGAAATTGAGGGGATGCCCATCAATTGGGAAATGGCTGGATAAATTGTGGTATTTGAATGTAATGGAATATTATTGTGCTATAAGAAATGATGAGTAAGCAGATTTCAGAAAAACCTAGAAACATCTACATGAACTGATACAAAGTGAAGTGCACAGAACCAGAACACTACACACAGTAACAGCAACATTGTGCAATGATCAATTATGATTGACATAGCTATTCTCAGACTCATGATGGAAAATGCTATCCACATCCAGAGAAGGAACTGATGGAGTCTGAATACAGACCAAAGCTTATTGTTTTCACTTTATTTTTTATACATCCTTCTATATGAAATTTATATATAGAATGTGCATATGAAATTTATATATAGAAATATGTTCTGCATGATTATACTTCTACAACATATCAAATTGCTTATCATCTTAGGGAGGGGAGGGGAACAAGAGAGGGAGATAATTTGGAACTCAAAATTTTATAAAAAACAAATATTAAAAATTATCTTTACATGTAATTGAAAAAAACATACTATTTCAAAAGTGATTTAATAAGAATAGTTACTCCTCTCCATCCATATGGATCTTAGCTCTTCCAGGCTATGTCCAAAAAGAATCCATCATCAGGAAGCCAATCTTCTAGTAAGATTTCTGTATTTAGAAAGGCTGGATTCATAACCCATTGCTATACTTCAAGGCTTTCCAGCTTGGCAGGATTAATAGACATCATGTTTCACTAACACAAACCTCAAGAACTCAAGAACACCCTGGTCCATGATGAAGTGTCTAAATTGATCATTTGTGGATGACAGGGAATAATGCTGAAAATATACAATGAAAACTTCGTCATGAGGAAAGAAGGATAAGCCTAAGAACAAACAATTGGTCAAATCTAACAATATTTTTAATCAATAAAGAATATATATATATATATATATATACATATACGTATGTATATAATATACATATACATACATAGACTTCTAGGATTGTATTATTTAAAATAGACTTTAAAGAATAGTTTACTTCTGTTACTTAACAGATGACAAAGCTCCGACCCAAAGAAGTTAAACAACTTGCTTATGATCACAAAGGCAGACTTGCTTATGATCACAAAGGCAGTAAGAAACAGAGCCGGGAATATAACCATGTCATGGACGGTGGCAGTTTCTGAATACAGAGTAATCTTCTAAGCCCCATAATATAGATATATGATACAAACAGAGGGGGTCTTCACCCAATTACTAGCTTTGTAACCCTAGGTCAGTCACTTCTCATATTTACCTCAGTTTCTTCACCTGTAAAATAAGGGAGTTGCAAATGGCAGTGGTTTTGATTTCTAAATCTATGATACTATCATCTGTCACAAAGGAAAAGGGGAAAAGGGGAGAACCAATATATGACTTACATAAGTGAAAATAAAAGAACTTCACAAAGTTGAGGAAACATCTCTTCAAGTCAGCCTAGGAGGGATAGGAAGCTTACAAGAATGAAAGTCTGAAGACTTTCTGATGGGATGGGTGAGGACCTATGCAGCATCAGATGGCTAAGGATGCTGTGGGGAGATGAATTCCCTGGCTTCTTGCTGTTTAGTCATTTTATTGAAAGTCCCTTAATAGCATTATTGGTTATAAAAATGATGGAAACAAAATCTGTATCCAGTGTTTAGGGGATGACTGTATAAGTTTAGGGAATGTGGAGTTTCCTTTTTTTCATCATGATTTTCAGGTAGTCCAATGATTTTTAAATTGTCTCTCCTGGATCAATTTTCCAGGTCGGTTGTTTTACCAATGAGGTATTTTAAGTTTTCATCCATTTTTTCATTTTTTTGTTTCTGTTTGACTGATTCTTGCTCTCTCATAGAGTCATTAGTTTCCATTTGTCCAATTCTAGTTTTTAACAGATTGTTTTCTTCTGTTAGTTTTTGTACTTCCTTCCTCAATTGGCCAATTGTATTTTTAAGAGATTTGTTTTCTTCAGTGTACTTTTTTTCCAGTTTGCCAATTGTGTTTTTTAGGGACTTGTTTTCTTCAGTGTACTTTTTTTTTTCCCAACTGGCCAATTGTATTTTTTAAGGATTCTTCTACCTATCTTATTAGACTTTTAAAATCCTTCTTGAGCTCTTCTAAGAAGACTTTTTGGGCTTCAGACCAGTTCATATTCTCTTTTGATGTTGCAGATGTGGGTTTGTTGACAATGTTGTCCTCTTCAGAATTTCTGTCTTGATCTTCAATCTCCTCGTAATATGAATCTATGGTACATTTCCTTTTACTCATGGTGTTTCTTTATTTCCTGGCCTTTAAAGAGATTGAGCTCTCCCACTGGGGAACAGAGGGCACTGACCCAAGCTTCTTGTGTTGGGAGCCTAGGTCTTAGTCACTGGCTTTGTGTGCTGGGGCCTCTTATGTTTGCAGTTGGAGGCTGTAGAGTTCTGGCAGCTTACCTCATGTTGGGCTGGAATCAGCAAGGCTGGAACTTTCAGGCAATTCTAGGTTACTTGCTTTTCCTTTCCTTTAGCTTTCTTCAGCTCCTTTTAGATAGGTGATGCAGGATGTTTATCTGCCTGGGGCCCCTTGCAGTACTGTCTCCCTAGTTTCTGCTAATACACTGGGAGATTCCTTTGATATAGAGTGCCAAGACACCTGGTGGTTTTCTGAGCTGGTTTCCACCGGTTCCCCCCTCCCCCGGCTCCCCCCCTCCCCCTCAGTGAGGCGCTTGGAGGTCCAGGTGTTGGTGTTTGCCTGCTCTACCACCTGGGCTTCAGGATCTCTTCCTGGTTGACAGCTGGAGGTTCTGACAGCTTACCTGGTGTTGGGCTGGAATCAGCAAGGCTTGGACTTTAGGTAGACTTTAGGTGGCTTTCTTCAGCTCCTTTCAGACGAATGCTGCAGTGTACTTATCCACCTGGGGCCTTTTGTAGTGCTGCTTCCCTTATTTTTGCTGAGGTACTGGGAGATCCGTTTGCTGGGCTGCTGCACTGCTGCTCCCTTTCTTCTAGTTCAGGTGTTCCAGGGTTTTTTTTCCTGGGGTGATATTTTCTGGGTTTTCAGAGGTTAATAGGGGAGAGTGAGAGCCACTACATTTTTACTCCGTCATCTTGACCGAATTTGGAGTTTCCACACCAGAAAGTTACCCACACTGGTGAAATCACAGGTCATTCGCCTTCCTACCTCCAGCCTCACCTCCAAAAAAAAAAATGAAATATTATTGTGTTAAAAAGAATGACAGATATGAAAATTTCAGAGAAAAGTGGGAAGACTTTATGAAGTGATGCAGAATGAAGAAAGTGGCCCAAAGAAAAATATATGCAATGAGAACAGCAATGTAAATACAAATCAATGCTGAGAGGCAGCAACAATTAGCCTCATCAGTTGTATTTACAAGAGATACATTGTCACTATAGTAACAAAATCAGAGTACATATACTTCCTTTCACTTAACAATGACTACTCTGCAAAAGTGGAAAGCAACATATATCAGTCACAACCATGCTATTATAGTTTTGCTTAACTGTTTTTGGGAAATGTACTTCAGAGTGGGATTTGTTTGGGTGATTTGGGAGAAATAGCTGTTATGCTTAATAAAATGTATTAATTTTATCTAAGATAATTGGCACCAAAGGAAAAAAATAAAAATAAGAAAATAATTTTTAAAATCATATGCAGCCTGAACCCTGGGAAGTTGTTAAAGTATGGGATATCATAGGTTCAGCTGTCTCTTTATGATTTCAAATTAATAAGAAAGATTCCTAAAAATGAAACAAAAACATCAATAAGAACGGGAGAAATGAAGCAAGTCACCCTAAGGTAATTTCTAAAGGAAAAAAAAAATGAGACTCCTCAAGCTATCATTTCTGGTTCTCCCACCAGAGATATTGTCACTCCATTAGAACGTGACATCCTTAAGAGCAAGGACTGCTTGCCCTTCTGTTTGTATCCAGAGTACCTAGCACAAAGCTGAGAACATATTAAGTCTTAACGAATGATTTTTTCATCTATTTATCACTTTCCTCACACATGGAGCTTCTTTAAGAGCTTAATAGTCTGGAGTTGGGCTTTTTGTTCCTTCTGGCAGGGTTAGGCATCAGCTTTTGAAGTTAACCCTTTGGCAGTATTCAAAAGTTTATACAGCTATGGAGGAAAGTAGAGTCCTCTAAAAGTTTACTTAACAGCAATGTTCTTCCTGAAACTACCATCAATCCTTTAGTTTGCTAAAGATTGCAAATTTAAATAGCCTCAACCCCAGGCCTGGGACTTAAAAAACAAACACAATATGATAAAAACATATAATATGGATGCTCTGGCCCCAGCTTTTTACAGCCTACTACACCTTCCTTCAGGGTTTTCAGGTACCCTGAAAGACTTGGGAATGTTTCTTTTTTTCTGCCGTCAGCTCAAGTCCTACTGACTATGTTCCTCCCACTTTTAGTGTATGCCCTTTGCCAAGTTACTTTACCTACCCTCCCCAGGCCCAAGTTTCCTTACCCAGTGACTATCACCTCAATTACATTTAACCATTTGACATTAATTGGCTTTTAGAAACTGATTTTTACTTTGAAGATACAGCAAGAACAAACAAATAAACATTTTCCTCAACACCACGGGGACATAATCCACCCCTACACAACCAGTCTTGTGGAGGTATGGTTAAGGTCTGAATTAGGCTCAAGACTTATTTCAATTCCTACATAGCAGTGGCTCTACAGGAATAGCATTGTTCCCTGATGAGTCCTCTACTGGACTGGGGTCCCATGAGTAACTACTGAAGATTATAATTTGCTCCCCCTAGATATCTTCAGGACCTTGCCTGGAATCCAACTTTTGAATTTCTGAGGTTGGTGTTCCCAAATCAGAGACTTTACTCCTTGAATTTAGAATGAACCCAGACCCATTTCAACGGGGCCATATGTCCTCAGAGGGGAAGGAGGCTTTATGGCTCTTCCTCTTACAGCATGATGCTACTCTATCACTTCTTTACAGAGCATAGCTGAAGACAATGAAGTGAAGAACCTGATAAAGCTGATTGAAGCCTTTTTCCAAGATGCTAATAATTCTTGTGAATACCCAAAATAGTTAAGTGACTAATCTCATATTTTTTTAAATTTGGTACCATATTTACTTTCTCATGCAGTACATCAGGGAGTATGTGATTAGAGCATAAATGTGGTAGCTCTATTGTAATTGGTGATGAAAATACTGTTATTAAAAGTTTTATAGATATTTTTCAATTTTTTATCTCCTCAATGTCTTCTTTTGGAGAATAATTGAATTTTTTATCAATGATTTTAAAGAAGTCATGGATACCATGTTTATTAAACTTGTATATGACACAAAGCTAGAAGGGATTCCTAATATGCTGGTTGAAACATCAGGCTCCAAAAATACCTTTCACACTAGAATGTTGCGATGAATCAAAAAAGATGAAATCTTATATGGGTAAATAGAATGCTTTATGCTTGGGTTAAAAAAAATAAATTTCACGAATCAAATAAAGAACAGAAGTTCTGGGAGCTTTAGTTCATTATTCATTCAATATGAAGGCAGATATGACTCCAGCCTCCTCTCCTGCCCCCCAAACCCCAAATATTGCTATCCTAGCATGGAGAAAGGAATAGTGTCCAAAATGAAGGAGGTAGTAATTTCATTATACTCTGCTCTAACAAGGCAATAACATTTAGGAAATACATAGGAATGCTCAAATATATACAGGGTGGGGGTGAGTGTTTAAATAGGATGATGAAAGGTTGGGAAACCATGTCTTATAAAAGAACTGACTGTGTTTAGACAGGAGAAAATAAGACTTAAAGATAATATGAGAGCTGTCTACAAGAATTTGAAGGGCTGTCCAGTGGAAGGATTAGATTTCTGCTCGGCATCAGAAAATAAACCTGGGATTTCATAGAAGAAGGAAGGAGAAGTTGTAGAGAGGCAGATGAAACAGAAAGGACCATTTATATAATCTATTCAACTTTCTTTGTTTTATGGGTGAGGAAACTTGGGCCTGGAGGGCAGTAAAGTAACTTGGCAAAGGGCATACAGTGAGTTAGTTGCAAAGGAGGGACTAGAACATGTGTCTTGTAACTTCCAGTCCCAATGTTCTTTTCAGGTAATCTAGAATTGACTAAGTCACTATTTTCGTACACCAGGCAGTCAAGCAGTCCGATATCAGAAAGATTCCATAAGAAGGGCTGAAAAATAGTGTGGGGTAAAATAGCTAAATGAGAAGTGGGCAAAGGTATCCAGAGAGAATGATCTGGAGGCAGCCTTTGATTAATGTTTTGATGGATCTGTGATTTCATAGATGTTGCTTCCTCCAGTGGTTCAAGTCACAACTCAAATGTACCCCCACATCCTGGGTGACTTTTGTCTATCAACTTCCATAAGACCTTCATAGAATATTTACCCAATATGCTACAGACCTTCTTCTTGGTCTTATAGTATTTCATGAATACCTCATCACTTGAGCAGTCTATTATTCTTATTGCATGACTGGCCCACCTTATTTCCTTGTCATACTTGTATTGATAATATCTCTTATGCCACTTCTTGTTTACAAGTCATGATTAGTAACATACTACAGTTTCATGTACATGTAGGCAAAAGTAATATGATGAAGTGAAGAGCACTGAATTTGGACTTGGAGGGTTTAGTTCAAGAGTAAGCTCTGCCATTTATTACCTGTGTGACCTTGGACAAATCACTTCTATGGACCTCAGTTTTTTTCCTGTAAAACTAGATGACCTACCTCCAACATCTCTCCTAGCTCTAAATCCTGTGAATCACTTCCAAATAAATAGAGATATCCAAATTTGGAATGGGAATTTAGAGGTCTTTTCTCCTTAATGATGGCCTTTAGGCAGGATTAATGATCACTTTGGCCATGCCGGAGGTCTTTTTTGGTAGGAGAGAGGTTGGAGTGGATGATCTCTATGGTATCTTCCACCTCTTAGATTTTGGGATTTTGGTCTATGTCTATCTACTTTACAAGATTAGTTATTTGAAATAGTTTCTGGGCCCTTTGGTGTTTCTTCTATGTTGTGGCAATTTCTAACTTCTGAAGAAAATGGTAGCTTATATTTATGTCTTTTCCTTTATCAATTCCCTATTTTTTAAGTGTCATACCTTGTTTGCACAGGTCAAATTGGATTTATGTAGTAGTTATGATTTCAGCCAGTGTTTTCTTTTCATCTTTATTCTTGGGTTTTTTTTTATATTGATTGTGATTTTTGCTTTAAGTACACAGAACCTCCTCATTCTAAGAAGACCTCTACATTGTTAATCAGGGATTTCTGGTCCTTTAAGACAATGATGTCAAATTGAAATAGAAAGAGATCCTTTCAAGGGAAATATTGACTCAGGAAATCACAAATTAAAATTATCTATTTTAATTTTATTTCTATTTATTCTATTAAACATTTCCTAATTGCATTTTAACTTGGTTGGGCAGTAGGCCTCATGTTGCAGTAGGCTGTGTATTTAACACCTTTGCTTTAAGATATAGTCAATTCCACTGGTTATGATGTGTTTGGTGTTCAATCCCCAGTGTGAAATTTAATTCTGTGAACAATGATTGCTATTGTTTGTCAAAATTGTATTTTCAATAACCCCACATATTTAGCAAATATCTTTTAGGTAAGGGATGTCAAGGAATAATCTTAGAATACTGTATTTTGAGGGAGATATATTGTCAACAGAATGACAGGATATTTCATCTCCTGTCTCCATGCCTTTGTACAAGCTGACTGCCATGTCTAGAATCACTCCTTCCTCTCACTTCCATCTCTTATAATCTCTAGTTTCTTTTTGAAAGCCCAGATTAAATGCTACCTTTTATTTGAGGCTTTCATAATCATTTGCCCTCACCAATTACCTTGTATTCATTTTGCATATATTATAAACTTATATGTATATATATACATGTACATATATATGTATGTATGTATGTATGTATGTATGTATGTATGTATGTATGTATGTATATCATCTCCCCCTTGAGAGCAGGGACTCTGATTTCTGTGTTTGTATTCCCAGAGCCTAATATATTGCTTAGTAAGTACCAGATACTTAATAAAGGGTTATTGATTAATTGACTGATTCTATTTTTGGCAGGGGCATACTGTCTTCACATAAGAATCTCAAGATTTTGGCTCACTAAAATCAAGACCCTCAAAATGTCCCAAGGTAGATTTTTTAAGCATAGAATCTACTCAGGGATGAATATGGAATTCATTTGCTTACAGAAGTGTATTTAAGTAGAGTTATACTGAATGGCAGATAAAAATTTTAAGTACTTACTTTGTATTAGGTATTCTGCAATACCTTGAGGTACAAACACAGTCTCTGCCTATCAGAAGCTTACATGCTAAATGAAGGGAAACAAAAATGTGGGGCCTGGTGCTGGAAGATGGTGGGAAGGAAGAGGGAGGCAGAGACTGAGAGATTGAGGGAATTTGTGCGGAGCTATGGGTCAGGGAAGATAAGGCAAAAGTTCCCCTCTTCAGGCTTGGGAAACCAAGGGTGGAATTCAGGGTTCAGATGGAAAGGAGATGAGGATAAGGATAATGGCTAGGGAACAGATACATTATAAGCAAACTGTCAAGAAGTACAATGGGAGGTATTATTCCTTTTGAGTTGCTTTCCATTTTATACCATTCAGATTTTTGCACCATGTTGCATCCCCTAATGTTATTCTAAAATGGAATCCCAGAATTATAAAGTTCAATCGTGTTGAAAGCCATTAGTCTATAGATTTACAACTGGAAAGAAAAATCATCTAGTCCAACCTCTTCATTTTTAAGATTGAAGAAATGGAGGTCTTACATGTCCTTCCCCGTTGCTGACATTTAACACAAAATCCACTCTGGAGGTGAAGTTCTCTTCCTGAAGGTGTAGACTGCCTTGCTTGCTGGAATTTGTATCACCAGGTATCCCAGGATACCTAACATTTAGAAAATGCTTAATACATTTAAAAAAAAAATTATTGCATCACAGGAAACACCATAATATACATCCTTTGATACTTCAGAGAATGTGCTCCACCTTTGACTCATTAAAATGCTGTTTCCCATTCTGGCTTCCCATTCAGACATTTAAGTTAGAAACCAGTTACCCAAAGAGATCAAAGAAAAAGCAAAAGGTCCTATAGGTACAAAAAAGTGGCTCTTTTTGTGGTGGTAAAGAATTGGAAATTGATGGTATAACCATCAATTACTGAATGGTCGAACAAGTTGTGTTTTATGATTGTGACATAATACTGCTGTGCTATATAGAAGAAGTAATGATCAGGACGATTTCAGAAAAACCTGGGAAAACATATGAACTGATGCAAAGGGAAGTAAGCAGAACCAGAAGCACATTATATATAGTAACAGCAATATTGTAACAATGATCAATTGTGAAAGACTTAGTTACTCTGAATAGGACAATGATCCAAGACAATTCTAAGAACACAGGATAAAAATACTATCCACCTGCAGAGAGGGAACTGATAAACTCTGAGTATAGACTGAAGTATAATTTTTCACTTTTTTTGCAACATAACTAATGTGAAAATGTGTTTTACATTTCACTTGTATAATTGATATTATATTGCTTGCCTTCTCAATGGCAGAGAAGGGACTGGAGGGAAGTAGAGAATTCTGCATTTATTTTTTTTACAAAGGAATGTTAAAAATAAACAAATAACAAATTTATTTTTTAAAAAAAGAAACCAGTTAGATCTTTATGGCCAGAAGGAAGGAGATGGCCTGTGGTAAGGCTCTTAAGTTACTTAAATATGAACCCTATATGTAACAGTGAGTTTAAATACCAACTTTGTTCTTTGATACTTCTGGTTTCTTGAAGGGAAGTACATAATCTTAATGCAACTCTGTCACTGTCATTCATTCTGCATTCACAGCTTTCTCAAGCACCACTTTCAGTTTCAAATTTAGATTAAGTGATCCTTTACCTTTTAGCAGCTTCCTCCCTTCCAAATCACAGACCTTCCTTTTAATGAGGAGTTGTTAATTTGGAATCCATGAGCTTAAAAAACATATCCATATACACAAATAAAAGTATTTAATAATCATAATAGGTTCCCCTTAGAATCCCATGTATTTTATTTTATGCATTTAAAAACATTATCCTGAGAATGAGGCAGCTAAGTGGTGCAGTGGATAGAGTGCTGGGCCGGAATCAGGAAGAATCATTTCCCTGAGTTCAAATCTGGCTTCAGACGCTAGCTGTGTGACCCGAGGCAAGTCACTTAACATGGTTTGCCTCAGTTTCTTCATATGTCAAATGAGCTGGAGAAGGAAATGGCAAATCACTCCAGTATCTTTACCAAGAAAATCCCAAATGGGGACAGGAAGAGCTAGATAGTACTGAAAAACATGCGAACAAATTCTATAAAAGGGTTCATGGGATTCACCAGAAGCCCAAGGGGTCTATAACACACAAAAAAATGTTAGTAACCCAAAATGTTCCCCATTCTCCTAATTTCTCTTTTCCTTTCCCAAGAACCATAATCAAGTTACACCTGTCCTGCCCCTGCCTCTCACCTGAGTCCCTTCCAGCCCCTCGACCCCTCCTACGGACTGCATTCCCTCTCACCCATTGTATTCCCTCTTTTCCTTTGGATTCCAGCCTCCACAGAGCCCCGCCCCCAAGGAGCCTCGCCTCCACAGAGCCCCGCCTCCTTCACCCTCCCTTCTGCTCTCCAGATGTCCTATCTGAAGAAGGAGATGGGGGCGGAGATTATTTTCCCGTCAACGTTTTACGTCATCACGCTAACGCAGTCGTCCCTCATAGGTGCCAACCTGCTCCTTTTCACGTACCCGTGCTGTGGGTCAGCGACCGCCGTCCTGGGTCGTTGGGAGAGGCGGAGGCGGAGGGGGATGCGTCGTCCTCGTCCTTCTTGGATTCTGGGTCCGCTGTCGTAGGCAGGGACTGTCGCGTCCCTCTCTTCCTAAAGTAAGGCGGTTTGATTTTTGATGCGCGCTGGCGGGCCCCGCCCCTACTGTGGGGCCTTGTCTGTGGCTGGGCCTCGGCCCCGCCCCCTGGCGGAGGGGGCGGGAGGAGGGGTGGAACACGCTCGGTGCCCTGGTTCAGGGGCTTTTCAATCATGGGGCTCTCTGGTGTTTTCCCCACAGATGGCCAATTTCTCCAGCGAGGACGAGGCTCGGCTGCAGTCCATGCTCAGGCAGTTACTGCAGAGCGTGAAGGAAAAAATCACGGGCGCTCCCTCCCTTGAGTGCGCGGAGGAGATCCTCTTGCACCTGGAGGAAACGGATGAAAATTTTCACAAGTAAAGCTTCGTTTGGTATTTTAAGCGCACGGACCGGCAGATCAGTAGAAAGTTTAAAGGGCCATTTGAAGCGCTGTCTGAACGAAACTTGCCGCTACTTCCTTCTGTTCAGTTACACTTTTTCCTATCTCCCCTTGACAAGGCTCCTGTAAAGAGTGGGTGGGCCCCAGTTGGGGAAAAAAAAAGGCCTTTCTCCTTTTCCTCTTAACTCTCATATTCATTTCTTCCCTAACACTTCGTTATACACTTCTTCCCCCTGCACATCCCCCTACCCCACCCCCCACATACCCGCTAATATCTAATAGATATTTCAATAGTATCAGACCTGAACAGTTAATCCTTTACAGGGCTGTAGGGGGAGCTTTAATAATTTAAAACTGCATTAAGATTTTTTGGGACACCTTGTGAGAGAGTTGAAGAATCTCATTTTTGAGTCTAATCAGCACAGAGGTCTGGAATGACTATCCCGAGAAAGTGCAGTATTTTGTTCCTGTTGGTTCAGTGATTGAAGGATTTTATTCCTTTACTGAAAGATTAGGATAACTGAGTTTCAGTGGAAGTCTGGGATTTTTCTATTAAGCTGGATCTTATAAATGGAATGAAAACTTTTTAGTAAATCTTAAAATCTGACCTTAAGGTTCCTTAATATTTTTTTAAACCCTTCAGATTCTTGCTTACCTCAAAAAAGTAGTTGTTTATATACCTCTGGGGATTTTTGGCCATGTTAGTGATTCCATTAGTTACACTGCAGCTGCTCTAATTAGAACCCTTAGTTATCTTTTAAGCAGTGGTTAGTTTTAGTCTTAAGATTTGTTTAAAATTTTTTTTGCTTGGCTAATGAGAATTTTTCATCCAGGTTAATGATTATTTACCTCTCAGTCTGTTTATGTGTTTCCTCATTTCAAGTCTCAGTACAGATAACTAGATGATATTCCTGTGAGAGGTCAGAAAGGAATAATTTTATTTGATTAGATTCTGGGTTTTTAATTTTGCCATACGCAAGAAAAAAAATCAAGCAAGACTCAGGTTCTGTTTTTCCTTAGGTAATACAACTACTTGGATGATATTTGATCCTGGACAGACTTTAAGCTAAATAGAAGATTAATTGTGTTCTGTCACATGCAATGAGTTTGTCAAATCATTTTTATGATAATTGATGCTAGCAGATTAGTTAAACTTGTAATAAGAGTAGACATTTCACTTTACAGCTTTACATTCATTTCTCTAATTTTATCCTCACCATCACTCTATGAGATACTGAAGGTTAGAGAGGTGAAGTCATTGACTTTTTCCTGAATCATACAGCTAATCAGTTTCAGAGGTGGGCTTTGAACTTAGGTCTTCCTGGTTTTTAGTTCAGCACTTTAGCTGTACTAGTCAGGCTCCCCTGTAATAATATGGCAGGTCTTTTTTTTTTCTGAGGTGATAAAAGGGCATAGTTCGTTAAGTAACTGCATTATTTCAATATTAAATGGCTGTCAGATTCAGCACTAAAAAGGTAACTCAAACTTGCAAGTAAATTTAAAGGTTCTGGAATTCAGAAGGGTACTTTCCTCTATCTATGTAGGGGAAGGGAATAAGTATTTGTATAGTATCTACTCTGTATTAGGTACTGTGCTAAGTGCTTTTTAAGGTATTATCTCATTTGATCTTCACAACAAGCCTTCAAGGTAGATGTTTTTATTATCCTCATTTTACATTTGAGGAAATTGTGCCTGGGGTCACAGTCTAGTAAGTTGCTGAGGATGGATTTGAGCTGAGGTCTTCTGATTTCAGACCCAGAGCTCTATCTACTGCCTTCTCAGAGTGTAGCCTAAAGACTTTGGATGAGAGGAGGGGTCTCTGACACCCTGTAATGGAGCCTACAATGATAAAATATTGATTTAGTTAAAAAATTTAGTTTTAGTTTTTTAGATTTATGTTTTCTTGCATTTTTATTTAATTTATTAAATATTTCCCAATTACAGATTTATCTGATTTAGGCAGCGCTCAAGGGTATTGCAGGTGGCATGTTTGGCATCTCTGATGTACAGTATGAAAATTTTACATGCCTTTAACCATCAGTATCTTCTAGTGGTTCTGTGCTAATGATTTTTTTGGGGGAGGGGTCCTTACCTGTGATTTCATTGGTAGAGGAATTTCGTTCTGCAAGTAATAGAATTAGTCGGTTGCCTGGGGCAATGAAAGGGACTTGTGTCACACAGACACTAGGTGTATATAATTGGCAGTAGTTGGACTCAGGACATCCAGATTCATCCTGTCTTTCCTCTTTGCCACCTAACTCCATAGCTGGCATCTACCATACCATGCAACCTCTTTGCTATTTACATGTTTTCTACATAAACAACTGTGAGAAACATTGTTTTGCACATCTAATATCTTTAAAAGTGATAACCTTCCTATCTTATGCTTAGAAAAGATATAGTGTTATAGTAAAATAGTTCCCTTTTCTTAGATTGAAAATGTGAATTTAGTACTAAATTTGCTATTCAGATTATTGTTTAATACATCATTCTGTACTTATCTATTCTATAAATTCATGTACATATAAAAATTTTCAGAACCATAACATTTTAGAAAATATTTCCGTGATAAGTAACTTAGGTAAAATCTTAGAAGGAAAGTAATAGAAAAAAAAATTGGGTTCACTTCATCAGTTAGTAAATACCGCCTGTGGATATGTCACTAGTTCTTAGTAATATTTTTCTAAGCAAGCATAAAGAAGGTTGACCATTATGAATAGTGCACCAAAAAGCAAGAGAATGGGCTATAATTGTTCACTAGGCCTCATTTTCACATGGGGCTTTTCACTGGCAGACCCATTAGAGTAGTATTCCGGCAGTATTCCATATAAGTGACCAATTGTTCACTAAAGTTCTAAGAATGCTTTGAAAAAGGTTATGACAAAATGCATTTAATATTCTTTGGAAACATTGCAATTTACCATTTTGGGTAAATAGTTTGAAAAAAGTAAATATGATTGGGTAATTGCATGTTATACTTGTGGAAAAAAAATACTATAGAAAATGAAGTATATAGAAGTATGGGAGGCCTGGAAGGAACATAGGTTAAGGTGAGTTAGGGTCATAGTATTGTTTTAAAAATGAGAAAATAATCTACAAACTCAATTGGATGTATAATAAACAGTGTAGTACATATAAATGAGTGTAATTAGATCTAGAGCTGAAAAGAATCTTAAAGACTTTCCACATACAGCTTTGAATCAGAGTACTTGTTACAAGATATTATAACATTATATAACTAAAATAGTCTACGATTCACCGATGGCGTTTTCAAAAGGGCCGTCACAGCTTTAACACAGTTTTCTAACATAATAATTTCCATGCTCCCTCACACATTTTGAGCTGTACAACTTGATTAATGTGTTCAGTTTAAGAAGATTCCAGTGAAGAGTGACTTCAACAAGAATGAAAACAAAAAAGATATTTGTATTATAGAAGGGTGGATATAAGTTAAAAATAACAAACTTTCAGAATAAAGGTGGTTATTATTGATATAGGGTCCTGGAAGAAACATATGGGCTGTCTATATAGGTGTCTTCAAAAACAGAGGAGACTGGTACAGTGAAAAAGCGTTGGCTTTAGAATTAAGGTACCTACATTTTAATCCTGGCTTTTCCAGTTGATGTGTGACTTTGGGAAAGTGACTTGACTTCATTAGGCCTTAATTGCCTCATCTGTAAAATGAAGAAGTTGGGATTGATATGGAATTGATTTTAGATATCTTCCAAATCTCATCTGTGAGTTGCTTGCCATTCTCCCACTTCCAGTATAGGCATTTAAAAGCCATAGGTCTTAGCTCATGAATATGTTAGTTATATTACTTATGGAATTATGTCCTGGAAGTTAAATTCTCTTGACAGAAAAGTATTTTTTTTAAAATAAGAATTAGTGTGTTAGAATATTTATTTTTATAATATTAAAACAATGCCTTGTAATTTCTTTGTTTTTCCTCTAAGAATAAGGCTTAGATTTCTGAATCAGAATAATCCACATTGATCTTGGAATAGCATTTTTCAGTTTAAAGGTAATTTAATCATTTTGTTAACTTCTTTTTACAAATGAAGAAACTGAGGCCCAGAACAATTAAGTGACTTGCTCAAGCTCACTCAAGTAGTTAATCTTAATTAGTTAATCTTAAATCCTAATCCTGTGTTCTACTCATTATGACATGTCTTTACCCATATACATTTTTCTGATACTTGTACATAATTCATTTCTTATGGTCTGTCTACTTTTTTCTATGTACTACTTATTTAATCTTTTTTTCTTGAACTTTTAAACCTTTCTGTTTTGTAGATTTATCCAAGCATTTTTATAATTCTTCATATATAATGAATATTTATCAGGCTTTTGAGAAATTAGAAAACTAAATATCATGATCAGATAGGCAAGCAGTTGTTAAGGATTTTTAAGCACCTGCAATACCTATTCTAGGTATTTTGAAGAACCAAGGGAAGTAGATTTTTTTTATTTTAATTTTTGCCTTTGAGATGCTGAAATAAACATCTAGCTGCTTCAAGTACCCAGAGAATAGATAACCCAATCCATATTATTAAGTTCTGGGTTGTTTTATAGGAACTCAAGTACAATAGGAATTAATGTTTGGAGCAGTTCTTTGTAGGCTGAGGTTTTGAAAAGTTTCGGGAGAACTTGAGTCAAGCTTATAGCTCAATCTGTAAGACCTCTTTTGACAAAATGGTGGTAGAGGGGAAAGGAGCTTCCAAATATGGAGAACAGCATGAGCGAAATCATATAGATGGTAAGAGAGATATGAAGACCCAGGGAAAAATACTGTGGTACAGTGGGAGAGTATGGGGTTTGGAATTAGGGGACCTTTATTTTAATGCTGATTTTGCCATTTGCTGTGTGATCTTTGGCAAATGATTTGATTTCAGTTGGCCTCAGTTGCCTCACCTGTAAAGTAATGGAGTTGTTGGAAATGATGTGGAATTGGGAAATTTCCTTCCAGATCTAAGACTTTTTTCTTTGTAAAAAACTGAAATTTATTTTAGATTTTTAAAAATGCAACTAAAGAAAGCATCTTATATATTGCAACTCATTTGTTACTTATCCATAAGTTCTAAAATGGTTCAATTGAACTATTTTATTTAAAACTAACATTTTAGTATGGTTTACCATGCATTTTAGATTTAAAGGTAGGTGGTAACATTTTCTCTTGTATTGGACTGGATTACAGGCAGAACACTTGGGACTTTGTATGGTAAAAGTCTTGCTAAAGTGAATTGTTTGACTTTCTATACCTCTCCCTTTACTAAAGTGAGCTCCACTTGTTCTGTTCCTGCTCAAGGCCCAGGTCATATTCCACCTCCATTAAGCCCTTACTGATTTCCATATCCCCTGAAATTCTTATAGCAGTTTACCACTCTTTTTTTTTCATGTTCACCTTCTCCCTTGTATTGTAGTTAATTATGCATATCTTATTTTACCTGCTTCTGCATAGTGCCCAGTACAGATTCACGTACAAATTAGGTGCTCATTAAACATTTCTTACCGAATGAATAAAGGTACTTTAAATTATTGCAAAATCATGAAAATCTAAAGGGTTTGGACCAGATATGGAACTAGGGATTCTGAAGCAAATGATCCATGCTGAATGTATCAAATGGGGTCAGTTTATGGTAGGACTTTTGAATGTCAGGTTAAAGAAAGTGGACTTTAGAATCACAAGAGATCCTTCCAGAGTTAAAGGTCTCCATGTTTAGAAGGATTAATCTAGCAGCAAAATACAGAAAGCACTGGAAGGTGGAAAGAAAAAATGGAGAGACTTTAAGAGAGAAGATTTTGGGCCAGGGTGGCAGTGTTCATAGAAAATCAGAATGTATTGAATCCAGAATTTAGAGCTAGAATTGGCTTTAATCCAATTCCCTTGCCTTGTAACTAAAGAAAATGAAATGCAGGTCTTCTGACACCCAGTCCACTTCTTTTTTAAACATTATGCTAACCTAAATGATGAATTGAAGATGCACTATGAAGCAAAAATCTGCAATAATTGATGATTGAATATGAGGGACAAAGAAGAGGGAGAAGTTAAAGATAACATCATGTTAAACCTGGGGTACTAGGAAAATATTAGTGCCTGTGGCAAATGGGAAGTCACAGGCCTTACTCTGTGCTTTTCTAAGCAAAGAAAGGAAAGGAAGGTTTCTATCTTCTTGCTCCCAGAGCTGAAGGGTCAGAGAGTGGGGTATGAAGACTTTTGATGTCATTTGAATTGCAGAGAAATTAAATGACTTGCACCAAATCGCATAGATGACATGAAAATATTGTGTGAATCTATTTTTCAGTTGTCAATTTCTAATAATAAACAATATTAATGTTTCCTTTATTTTAGAAAATGAATTATCAGAAAAAAATTACAGTTAAAATCTCACTAATTCAGACTAATATGTCTATAATGTTTAAGGTCTCTTTGGTTCTCAATTATATGTCTTGCCCAAGTAGCCAGGGCACAGGCTCAGCCCTTCATGAGAAGTGCCCTAGACAGAACATGTACCATTGGAATTGGCCTTTTCTTATGCATATCTCATATGATGAAAAACCATGTAGTGCAGTGGTTAGAGGGCTAGTCTTGAAGTTGGGAAGACATGGTTTCAAATTCTGCATTAGTCTCATACTAGTTGTGTGACTATGGACTAGTCCAGGGGTGGGGGACTTGTGCCCTGAAGGCCACATATGGCCCTCTAGGTCCTCAAGTACAGCTTCACAGTCAAAAGGCTGCACTTGAGGACCTGGAGGGCCATATGTGGTCTCAAGGCCACGGGTCCCCCACCCCAGGACAAATCACTTAACCTGTCAGTACCCTGGCAACTCTAAAACCAAAGTGATGAGACTTCTTGGTCTGCCTTGCTAGAGCGATTTTCCACTTTGAGATTTCCCTACACTGTTTAAAACAACAACAACAACACAACAAAAAATAAAGCAAGTCTCTGTCCACCACCAGTGCTGGAAAAAAAACCCCCAGTACTTTAAATTATGTGTAGAAATCTTTTCATTTCACTGTATTCATTGATTTTCTAATCTTAACCTTTTCTTATGTTCTTTATTTCTCATGTTTCTTAATGTTTTAACTTTTCCATTCCTTTTGTTTTTATCAGTTTGAAAATCGTGAAAACACTGAATAAATTATTTCTCAGCTAGTACAGATTTAACATAGGATAGACTAATAATATGAAAAAGCTCCAAAAACATTTTCTGGTTTCTGAAATTACCTCCTTTCAATTCTTTATCTTTAAAGGGTCATCTCTGTAAGATGATTTAGGGGAAAAATTTTAAATTCCTCAATATTCTGCTAATGTCAAATGAGATAATGTATGTGAAAGAGCTTTATAACCAAAAAGCGCCGTATAAATGTACTCTATTGCTTAGCATCGTGAGGTAATGAAGACTAAACCTCTGTTTTCATTATTATAGGGAACTCTGGATGAGAAAATACCCTCACTGATGCAAGTTAGCACTTTTTATGCAATTTTATGATCATAGAGAATTGCTGGGGGATATCGAAAGGTTAAATGACTTGTTCTGGGTCACACAGAGAGTCAGAACTTGAACCCAGATTTTACTGGCTCTGAAGCCAGCTTTTTATATACCACCGCAGATGGTGTGTAGTACAAGGACTAGAATCCTTAAGTAATATAAAACTGAACCCTCTATAACTTTAAAATGATGACTTTTTAAAATAAGGCATGTGACTGAGCTGTTTTTAATTTTTGTTTCAGCTATGAATTTGTGAAATATCTTAGACAATATATATACAGTACTCTGGGGGCTATGATTGAGGAAGAAATGGAAAAATGTACCTCAGATCAGAATCAAGGTGAAGGATCTGGCTATGATACTCTTGTTCAACATGTTACTAAAGTAACCCAGGAATCTAAAGAGTGAGTATGCTTAAGTTAATGTTTTAAAGACATTTGTTTTCACAGGTGTCATTTGCTAACATAATCACATTCAATTTCACTTCTGGTTTCAGTAAATGTAGACAACCAAGGTATTTAGCTATGAATCAGTGAATATTCTTCAAATAGAAAGAACTGGTCATCCATTTTCAACTATATCAATGGCAATTCCAACAAAGATTGAACATTTCTTATTTAATTATTAAAGATAGCAGTATAACTACTGACTTTCTGTGTCTGTTTTATAGTTGATAGCAATTTTGTTGGCCTATAGATTTTCTTTTCTTTGTTTCAGACTTTGAGAAAATAATCTCCTTTATAAGACTGTGTCCGCATTTTAGTTTGCAAAAGGTAGTCGTTGAAGTGCATTGCTACCATTTAGATGTTCCACCAGACCCTAATATGGATTCGAGTCTACAATTCAACAAGTACTTTTGAGTGCCTAAGGTATACTTAACATGATCCTGAGAGCTTATAAGGAATGCAGTGACCCTATTTTGTGCAGATGAGATTTATGTACAAATGGAGAAAAAATAATACACATAACATAATTCTGTGCCAAAATAGTATAAATGATGAGTGTTATTTGGGCATGGATGGGGAAAGTGGGAGTTAATTTTTTTAAAGCTCTGTTGGTGATAGATTCAAACTGGCAACTTTGTAACCTGCTGCCAGTTTTTAAGACCCAAGGCAGACTAAGAGGAGGACTTGCCCATGAGGGTGGTGTTCCCAGGTAGAGAGGCCCTGAGCAGAATAGCAAGAAATGAGGAAGTTCAAAAGCAGCAGCAGTGATGTGTCTCAGAGCCCAGGTGGAGAGCAGGGTGTCTCCGGCTCAGCCTTCAGAAGAATAACCAGGGTAGGAATCGCATACTAGACTAAAGAGGAGTTTGTAGTTCTGTCACTCCGAACCAACAGAGCTTTCCAGCTGGCTGATATGGACTTCATCCTGCAGCAGTCTACTGTTGCTCACACCCAAGTACAGGCCAGGAAACTTGCAGAGTTCACACCAGGGTAGGGTCAGCCCAGGAATAAGACTTTGCCCTTCATCATACCACTTTGGAAGCACAGAAAGCTTGCAGGTCCTTAGCCTGCCTCTGAAATCCTGGAAAAATACAACACTCAATACCCCCCAAAAGAAGCATCGCTACCTGCCCAGACTTTCCCTCTCAGAAGTGCAGCCCAGCCCAGCCTAGCCTCAACTCTGAAGTCAGGAAGTAGGCTGGATAAATGAACAAACAGAAAAAGAAGCTGATTGTAAGGAGCTATTATGGTGTCAGGGAAGCTCAAGACACAAACCCAGAAGACAATGATTCCAAAACGTCTATAGGCAAAATACAGCCTGGTCAAAAATTAAACTATAATTCCTGGAAGAGATGAATAGAGAATAGAGACACACACACACACACACACACACACATAAACAAAATGAGAATACTTGAGGAGAAATTGGAAATGAAATAAGAATTATGGAAGAAAGATTTGGAAAGGGAATTAACAGCTTGGCACAAGAGGTTCAAAACACAAACTCCCTGAAAATTAGAAGGATCAAAAAGATGCCAATGAAAGAAAGTCAAAAGGCTGAAAAAATAGAAGAAAGTATAAGGCATCTCATAGTAGGGGGGAAAAAACCTAACAGAAAACAGATCAAGGAGAAAAATAATTAAGAATCACTGGGTTATCTGAATGCCATTGCCAAAAAGAAAAAAAAATCTAGACTTCCTATTTCAGGAATTCTTAAAAGAACACTGACCAGATCTCTTGGAACCAGAAGGGGAAGTGGAAATAGAAAGAATCCACTGGTCAGCTCCTGAAAGAAACCAAATGAAATCTACAAGGAACATCATAGTTAAAATCCAGAGTTTTCTGATCATAGAAAAAATATTGCAAGCAGTATTTTTATATTGCAGAAAGAAAGAATTCAAGTGCAGTCAGGATCACACATAATGTAGCAGCCACCACCTACAGGAGTGGAGAACTTGGAATACAATATTCCAGAAGACAAAATATGTGAGTTTATAGGCAAGAATACCTTATCCAGCAAAAATGAGCCTTCAATGAAATAGAGGACTTCCAACATTTCTGAGGAGAAGACTATAGTGAGAGATGTTAAAACATTGAAGTTCAAACATAGGAGTGAAGAGAAACATAAACACACAACACACACACACACACACACACACACACACACACACACACACAAATAAATGATGATAAAGGCCTAAACAAGGATAAACAGCTTACATTTAAATAGGGGGAGATGATACATGTTTTTCCTTGCAGTTCTGTCATCATCAGGAGTCATGGAGAATAATTCATGTCTTGATTTAAAAAAAAAAGAAAAAGGGTGAGAGGAATTCATTATGTGGAAAGGAGGAAGGGGAAGGAGAAGGGAAAGGAAAAGTAGGGAAAATTATTGTACATAATCAGTTTGTGCAAGCAGACATCTATAAAAATGGGGGAGAGCCTAACACTTGAACCTTACTTTTTCTGTCCGAACTGGTGAAAAGAAAAATATGTACACACAGTTGAATGCAGAAATAAATTTTTCTCAACAAGAAAATAGAAGGAAAAGGGGGGAGGGGGAGGGGTAATTTGAAGGAGGGAAGAGTAAGGGAGGAATTAGTCATAAGCAAAAAAGCAAAAAACAAGACAAAACAAAAATCCTATAAAAATGCATAAAAATTTGTAGCTCTTTGAAGTGGCAAAGAATCAGAATCTGAGAGGGTGTCCCTAAACTAGGGAATGAATGAACAAGTTATGGTATAGAATATTATTGTGCTGATTTCTTATTAGCATGATGACCAAACATGATTCCAGAGGACTAATGAGGAAACATTCTACACACCTCCTGAAAGAGAGGTGAAGGACTCAGAAGGCTGAATAAGACCATATTTTTCTTGCCAATATGAAAATTTGTTTTGACTGACTATACATGTTTGTGATGGGTTTTGTTTTTCTTTTGTTTACAGTTGAGATGGGAAAGGGGATGGCAAGGTGAGAAGTTGAGTTTGGCTATTAAAACAGATTTCTAAAAAAAGACCAGTGAAGGAAAAGATAGTGATGGAAGGCATCTGAGTGATCTGATATAAAGAGAGAAGAGACAGCTCTTGGTGAATGTCTTCAACTTTTCCAGTAAAGTGTGAGAGGAGGTTCTCAGCCAAGATAGTGTGGGGAACAGGGAGTCATGGGAGGGAGGAGATATGAAAAGGTTTGGAAGAGCTGCTCTGGTGAGAGGGATAGTGAGTTGAATTAGGTGTAAAAAGATGGCCTTGTTGCTCAGTTTAGGTTATGTAACACATTTTTAGTGCACATAGTACAATTTTGTGATTTAGCACATGTATAGGAGTGAATGCAGCAGATAGTGGGAGTGACCCAAGGCTGAGGCAAGATTGGTGATATCAGAAGGTGGGAAGAGAAGTTGAACCAGTTTACTTCATCTAGAGTCAAGATGGGGAAGGAAGTAGAGCTAGTGCAAGGTTAATGGTCTGAAAAGAACTGAGAGGTCCAGGGATTTGAGTTCACACGCTGTGTGGATAAAGAGCAGAATTTGAAATTGCAAGGCTGAGTGAGACGTAGAATGACAATAGCTTGTGATCAAATAGGGAGATTGCCAAGTTCACAAACATGGAAGTGGTACATTTTGTAGTGATAGCAAGATCAAGAGTATGACTATCTTCTGGTATGACTTTCATGATGTGGAGCAATATGTCATGTGAAATGAGTAAGCTGAGGAACTCCGAGGTAGGGTGTTGAGAGAGCATGAGTATGTGTGTTGAAGGCTACTAGTATGAGGGCAAGAGTTGATGAGGGGAAAAGAACTGTGAATGAATCGCTGAACTCATTGAGGAAAGAAGGGGAATGATCTGGAGGTTGGTAGAAAGCCACTATCATGATTTTGACTGGGGGGAGGTGTAGATATTCCTTGAGTGAACCTCAAAAGAGAGTAATAATGGTAGAGGAAGAACTTGGAAGTAGCAATAGGAAGCAAAGACTATTACAACTCCCCCATTTCAACCAGTGAATGAATGAAGGTACATCTAGTGCTGGAAAGAGAAGCCAGGGAGGCTGTGTCTTTAGGGTAGAGCCAGATTTCATTGAGAACTAGAATATAGAAAGAATGAGACAGGAAATGATTTAAGAGCAAAGCAGGTTTGTGGTCTTCTGCAGTAAGTATTCCAGAGAGCACAGAGGAAGGAATAGGTAGTTTTAGAGTGGGACATTGCAGAAATTGGGTTGAGAGGAATGGGAATAAGGTATAAGGCAGTAAGGGATAAAGAATAGGGTTTAAATGGTGACATCTAAGGGTTCAGGATCTCTCCATTTCTCAGGAATCTCTAGGATGGGGAAGGCATTATAGGAGGGAGTTTTTAAAATCTTTGAGCAGTGAGTTCAGGTAGGTTTTAATTGACTAGAGATTTTTGAGTAGAGCAGTTAAACATCCATGACTATAAGTAATGAATTTTATTATGACATTAGTATAAAAGTTGGGCTAGAGGGTAGGAGTAGAGTGAAGTCAAGAACTTATCCTAACTGGCAAAGTGGATAGAGCACCGGCCCTGGAATCAGTTGGACCTGAGTTCAAATCCAGCCTCAGACCACACATTTGACACTTACTAGCTATGTGACCCTGGGCAAGTCACTTAACCCCAATCACCTTAAAAAGAAAAAGAAAAAAAGAAAAGAACTTATCCTGAGCACTACAAAGAGTGCTGGGCCTGGTGTTAGAAGACTTGAGTTCAAATCCAGCCTCAGATAACTTGCTAGCTGAGTGTCCCTGGGCAAATCACTTAATCCTGTTTTCCTCAGTTTCCTCATCTGTAAAAAATTTGAGAAGGAAATGGCAAACCACTCCAGTATCTTTGCTAAGAAAACCCCAAATGAGGTCACGAACAGTTGTTCACAAGTGAGAACAACTGAACAACAGCAACAATAGCACCTGTGTCACAGCAACCCTAGGAGGATTAAATGAGATATTTACAAAGTACTTTAGCACAGTGCCTGTAATGTAGTAGGCACTATGTAAATATTAGCTATTATTAACTTTACAAATGCTCTTTTAATAGTCCAATTAAATAGTGCAGAGGGCCTGTAATAGGGTAGTTGCATTGGGAGTAAAAGTATTAAAAATATTGAGATAAACATTTTAGAATGTGAATTTTCTTATTTTTTTTTCCCACTGAGCTTTTTTGGACATGGGGGAAAAAAAGTGGTATGCTTTCCTAGCATTCTATTTCTAGCAATATTAGAGTATCATTCTAAATGAAATGATGAAAGCATTTTATCAGTTAAGATTTTTATGCTGTCTTAATAGCTAAAATGACAGACCTCAGAGTTATTTTCAGTATTGTTAGCACATTATTGTTCAGCTGTGGATAAGCCATTCTAATTTTATTTTATTTCATCCATGTGTGAATGTGTATGTGCAATGATAATTACCTCAGCTGAGTCAGGTAACTTTTTTAATGAATGTCATTTATTTTGTGATCTGTACATGAAAGCATGTAAAGAAGAACTGTACATTATTTTTCTTTCTACATTAATTTCTTCCAATTTTGTAAAAAATTAGTCAAGCATAATGTTGTAGTAATAGCACTTGTAGTAAACATACTTTGCATTTATAAATTACAAATCATATTCTTATTAAACATATTTACAGTTTTTTTGCAGATAGCTCTTTGAACTTAAAATTCAGCTATTTGCAATTTCCTTTCTTGGGTTACCCCACATAGTGATTAGGGAAGTTGTATAAAGCTATGATTTTCATTTGTTTTGGGTTTTATTTAGTATGTGTTCTATCTTTTTTTCACTTAGTTTTTGTCCCTTGGATTTGGAGAAATGTGCTTAATGGTGACCCTATCCTGTTTCCTTTTCTGGATTTTTTTTCCCCCACTAGCTTTGTCCTAACTTTGCAAAGGGTGTTTATGCATTCTAATTCCGGCAGCTGTTATTTATTCAGGGTGATACCCTCTTCCCCTCCCCCAGTAACTTCTTTAGGGCTATTTTGTTTCTGACCCTACCTTCAGAAAAGGAAAAGAAAGAAAAAAGGAAGGAAGCAGATTGCCATTTTCTTACTTATTAGAAGCACAGGTTTTAGAGGTTTTATGTGGAAAAAGGTTTATAATAGGTCTAAAAAGAAAATTTTAGATTGCTGAGGATTTCAGATACTGTTGCTTTTTTTGCCCTCCTTAAGATTTGCCTGAACTCGTAGTCCCAGTTTTCCTCTCTATCTTAATCAGATTCATGATCTTAGATTTTGAAGTACTTAGTCACTTGGTACCTGAGAATCCTTAGGCAGTTCAGGCAAACAACATAAATTTTTTTTGTTTCATCTTAGCCAGCTAGACCTTATTTAGGCTTTCTGCATTTTAGGTAGAGTTTCCCTTTTTTGTGTATGACAGATGTTGATCCTTTAGAGCAGATGTTCCCAAACTTGTTTGGTCTGCTGCCACCTTTAAAAAAATGCTCACCACTCCCCCGGAAATCTACCTTCTTTCACCCTGTAACAATTTTTTGAAATTTGTGTCACTGGAAGCTAATATCACCCCCTTGATCGTTCCAGCGCCCCCCCCCAGGGGTCAGTATCACTGACTTTGGGGACCTATGCTTTTAGAGCTTGGAGAGTACTGATTTATCACTTGGCACATTAATTCACCCTCATGCTTCTACTTATGTATGCAGTACATATAATTAAATTTTCCAGTATGTTTATTTAAAATAGGAATTTTCCTCATCTATAAAATAAAAGTGTCGAACTGGGTAATCTCTGAGGTGCTGTAGACTTCTAAAATTTTATGACTGTATTTGTGTAGGTTTCCTTGCTTCCTTTCATCCCATTAGTTATGAATGATTTGACAGTCTTCATCAACTAAGTGGAGAAACCAAGCTTATATCTTAATTAACTGTAGGCTTTAAGAGATTGAAAGGATCTCGCAGGCTGTCCACTGCAACCTCCTTTCTACAGCATTCCTGACAAATGGTTGTCTAGTCTTTACTTGACTCCTTTGATTGACAGCTTTGGTTATACTCAAATTATACTATGTTGCTCAGTTATTACCCTGTGATTGTGAATGCCTAGGAAACATAAATAATAATCAGGGCAGATGGACCCAGGGGAGAGGTTAAAAAAAAAAAAGAGTTGATAGAGAGGAAGGAGCAAGAAAGAAAAAGGGCAGAAAGAAAAAGAAAATGGGAAGGAGGGCAAGCTACAATAAGTTTCAATTGTCTTTTAGCATCACCCATGCCAGAAATCTATGAAATTTGCTGTTCTTGTCTGTGAAGCCAAAGAAACTAGATTGACTACACATCAATTCTGACTTTTTGCTAATTGTAAAATATATCTGCGATTATTGCCAATACCAAGTTTCCATTTTCAGAGAAATCAAAGTAATTTAGGTTTTATCCCTGTGGCTCCTTCAAACAATATTTTTGTTTCTGAGGGCATTTTAACAATTTTTTATTAAGTGAAATAAAAATACTTTGAAATAAGTATCTTGTTTACAGTTTTTCATTTGATCCACTTCACTAATGGCCTTACTCTTTAACAAAAGTAGTAATGAAACTCTTAACTTTAAAGGTATAAAGAAATGATGCATTCCCTGAAGAATGTCATGATGGTTGTGGTGGAATCTTTAATTAGCAAATTTGAAGAAGATCAGATACGAAATAAGGAGGTACAGAAGAAAACCGTAAAGGAGAAATGCAGTAATTATTGCACTGACAATTGCTCTGACAGTGACTCTTCATTTAATCAGGTGTGTTGTTTAGTTTTTCATTCATGCCATGAGATAAACGGTGAACTTCATATAGAGAGTAAAAATGTGATTAATGGAAATTATAAATATAATTAAGTTTTATAGGTGCCAAAAAATTCCAATTCTCCTGGCTACTCTGAAAACAACAGAACCTTCAACTGTGGGATTTAAATCAGAACTAAGGCAGACTTTAATACTTAGCTAGAGTGGAACTAGAAGATCAGAGACTAGAATTTAAATCTTAACCTTTAAAATCTTAGATTTATAACTGCGATAATAAGGATTACTTACAGTTTAGGGAAGTTGAATGGAAAGATCCCTGTTTGAGACTGGAGAAATCTTGTATTAAATGAAGCTGAGAGTATGATGAAACCAGGATTGCTAGCTCTTCCTCCTTTCACTTCTCCGGTAGTACTCCCCTGTAGAGTCCACTTCAGTAGAGCAAACGCAAGAGCTAGTTTTAGTAAATAAAAAAATAATTTACTGTTGATTGAAAGAATTTTGAGGTGTAATCAGTATACAGAGTAGGTAAGTTAGTTATACATTCTCACATTTCTTATCTTAATTAGACTTTTTACTTGGTTACTTTTAGGCACACTCCTTTTTTCAACATTTATAAATTGACTACCACATTCAGGCCTAAGAATTTTGACCCTGCCAATCCAAGGCCAGTACTAGTCTTTTCATATGCTTCTTTGGAACCTGTGTCCTGAAGTTAGGTGGTAGTAAATTTCCATTCTGCTAGATTTCTCCGATGGACTGGGCTTAAAGAATGTGTCTGTCTGGTACTCTGTGCAGGATGGTGGGGCACAGAGGGGCAAAGTCACTGCAGCAGTGAGAGTCTTTAACCTTGGACTAGGCTGCATAAGCCTGTGAGTGTGTTTAGTACAGGGAGGCTGATGGGGTTGAGGGGGTTGGAGTGAGCACTCTTAAGTATATGCATTTTCTGGTATTAACTCATAAAAAAATTTGACTTTACCGATGCTTCTGTCTTTTTCTTCTGTGAATTTAAGTATAGTTATTCAATATATAACAGTATAATTCTTTTTTAGGATTGGCAGCTTCCATAGGATTGAAGACAATGACAATGCTGTCTTGATTGTCATGTGACCCTCACTGTCTTTTCAACATAGATATTTGATTGTTCAGTTGTTTTTGAGTCTGTTCTTATTGAGAAGATGAAAGTGGTAATTATGTGATTGGACAGGCTTATACCCAAACCTTCCTTATCTTTGTTTCCTACATAAATGATGTTAAGAAAAAAAAAAGTTTCTTCACTTCTTCAGATTGTCATATTTTAAGTAGTTTATAAAATTTTAAAGCAAATCATAAAGATTTCAGATGGCACTAGCACCAAAGTTGAGAGCTTCCTTGTTCTAATGAATTATGGTAGTGTGATAGATATTTGCAGTTGGAGAATACATAGTTATATTCCTGAAACAATTTAAGTTAATGGTTATGAGAATATTCCTCATCTCATATTGAAATGAAGTAATTGATTCTGTGATTCCTTGGGGAAAAGATTACACGCAGTATTCTTTATGGATAACTTTTAAATAGTACTATTGCTGAATAGAAAACATTTTGATTCTTTAGCTCAGTGAGAAGCTTTTTTTTTCCCCAAGACAATTGGGGTTAAGTGACTTACCAGAGGTCACATGCAGCTAATGAGTATCATGTGTCTGAGGCCGGACTTGAACTCAGGTCCTCCTGACTCCAGGGCCACTGCCCTATCTCAAGTGAGGCACTTGGACTGAATCCAAACTTCAAGGAACAAATCCCCTTAATGAGAAGATTTGTTTGGTAAAACTTGGATCAGTCGAAAGGCTGCAACCAAGGACCTAGAAAGCCACATGTGGCCTTGAGGCTGCAGGTTCCCTATTCTTTGCTAGTCAAAGCAAGCTGCATTTAAGCATTTATAGTCCAAGACACTCTATTTAGACAAGTGAACAAGTGTTAATTAAGTACATTAATTATTTAATGAAGCCATTTTCCTTGTCATGTTACCCTCAGAATCTTTTCAAGCTATATATTTGAATGTTAAGTTGTTATTGAATCTGTTCTTATTAAGAGGAGGAAAGTGATAATTATTTGATTAGATTTTTATGTATAGACCTCATATCCACAGAGTTCTGCTCTAATGTTTTACCATTGTGTGGACTTGACCCTGCATTCTTGAAGGCTAGAATTTAAGTCCTGGCAAATTCTGTCGTGTTGGAAAAGCTTTGATTATGACCCAGGCTATGTCTGCTTTGTGAAGACCAGCCTGGATAATCATGAAGTGGTTCATCATCTGTAGATTAGCCACTTGGTGATGGATTCTTTGGCCATGGCAAAAAAATCCAAAATCATTGTCAGCTCCATGTGAACCCCTTTTAATTCTGCAGTAATAGTAGCCAAATACTGAAAAAGGAGCAAAGGATGCTAAGAATCAATTTTTAGACAGTTTGGTGCAGTGGAATGTGCACTGAATTTTGAATCGCAGGACCTTGGGCAAATCACTTAAATTCTTTGGACCTCAGTTGCCTCCTTTGTTAAATGAGACAATTCAGCTAAATGACTTCTAAGGGCCTTTCTAGTTCTAGATCTATGATATTCACAAACTTAACTGAAAATAATCTAAATCTGAGATTCTTGTTGAATGAGCAACAAGTGGTCATACTGCTAAAGAAATTGAATTGCTTCACTGTTGATGTTTTCGATCAGGGGTTCTTAACTGTGTTTTTGCCATGGACCCTTCTGGCAGTCTGGTGAAGCCTCAGAGAAGCAGAAAGTGTATGTTACAAAATTAATAAGAAAAAAAGAAACTCCTCTCTGTATTCTCTCAACCTTGTTGATTTCAGAAAATTTTATGAGTCCATTTATTATTTCTCTGCATATGACTGCCAATTTATATAAGCAAAACTAATCTCCTTCTGAACTGTAGTCCTTTTTTACCAACTATTTGTTAGGCATCTCTAATCAGGTGTTTTGCAGGCACCCAAACCTCAATATATCCAAATTGGAACTCCTCTACCGCTCATCTGTCCTTCCTCTAACCTTTCCTATTTTTCTAGGGAGTTCTTCCAATTACTCAGGTGTACAGTGTCATCTTTCCCCACCCCATCCTCTATCTTTGTACATCCAAGTCTTTTGAGTTAATAGATTTAGAGGTAGGAAGGCCCTCAGAATCCATCTACTTTAATCCCCCCCATTTTACAAATGAGAAGAAAGACCTAAAGAGGTTAAGTGACTTGTCTAGGGTCACACATCTAGTCCCCAGAGGCATGATTTGAACCCTGCTTTTAAAGTGCTTGTGGTCTACTATAAACCTGTCTTCTGATGACCATCCTTTCTCTAAGGAATTTTAGTTACCAAAGTGTGGGAGAGAAAATGGAAATAAAAGGACAAAGAAGGGATTAATGTACACCACCACTATCACCTATAATAACAAACAACCCCATAGAAATGCCTAGAACCTTATATGTTTGGATTTTAGCTATTTTCTTAAGAGGTGTTTGTGTTTGCCACTTTTGTGTCACAGATTTGTTGGGAGAAAAATAGTATGGGTATGGTTACATCTTGATCTAGTAGCTTTCTGCATACTGTAATTTAAAAAATGCAGTGATGATATTCATATTCATGATGAAACAGTGTTCCATGAACTTCTCAAGTTATCTGTCTTTGGAAATATAGCCCATTTTATTTTTCTTCATTTCATTTTATGCCTAGAAATTCTAGCTTTTAAAGCTCTGATTATGAGGATACTAAATAAATTAAATTTTTTCATGTGTTTAATATATTTTTCAGAGTTATAAATTTAGTCAAGGAAAATTACAATTACTTTTAGAACAACTGGACCCTGGGCAACCTAAAGAGGTATGTTTAAAGGAAAAACAGTCATAAAACTTTTTTGTATATCATATATTAATAATGAATTATAGATGTGATGAAAGCAAGATAGTAATTTCATCATAGCCAGCCTTAGACAGACTAGTTCTGATTTTTCTTACCAGATGTGCCTGCATTCAAATTAAGATCATTTAGGATTTTTAAGGCAGTTTCTTAGAAATAAGAGGATTCAGAAAAGTATGCTAATATTATTTATATATACATGTATATGTAAATATTTTACTGTCAATTTAATTAGTATATTCCTCCTCCTTCCCTACCTGAAAACCATCCTTGTAAAGAAAAGAAAAATACAAGAAAAAAGTAGTTCAAGAAAAGTAGTCAGTATACAAACTAAATGTGATAATACATGCAATATTTCACATCCATAATTCCCCACCAAGAAGGGTTTATCTTCACCTTTAGTTTCTGATTTGCTTATCTAAAGACCTGAGCTACATGCAGCTCTTGCAACTATGTGTTTCCCAGGTGGTTGGAATTGTTCTTTTAATAGAATAGGATGATTAAAGGACATTGGGACTCATTCTACAGGTCCCATGAATTAGCCAGTGCATATTTCTTTCTTTTTTTTAGTTAATTATTTTTAACATTGTTTTCTTTTTAAATTTTGAGTTCCAAATTCTCCCCTTCCCTCCTGCTACCTCTCCCAGTCACTGAGAAGGCACGCAGTATATCAGTTTTGCATGTGAAATGATACAAAACGTATTTCTATATTAGCCTTATTTTTTAAAAAAAAGCAAGAAAAATAAAGAAATTGAAAAAATACATACTTCAGTTTGCACCCAGACTTCATCAGTTCTCTCTCTGGAAATGGATAGCATTTTTGAATCTTGAGTCCCTTGTAATTGTCTTGAATGACTGTATTGATCAGAGTAGCCCAGTTTTTCACAGTTGATAATTATTACAACGTTGCTGTTATTGTGCACAATGATCTCCGCATTCTTCCCACTTCACTTGGCATCAGTTCTTATAGGTCTTGCCATGTTTTTTCCGAAACCGTGCTCATCATCGTTTCCCAAAGCATGATAGTACTCCATCACAGTCAGATACTACAACTTGTTCAGCCATTCCCCAATTCATGAGCATTCCTTCTCTTTCCAGTTCTCTACCACCACAAAAAGAATTGCTATTAACATTTTTCTACATATAATTTCTTTTTATTTTTCTTTGATCTCTTTGGAATACATACCTAGTAGTGGTATTGTTGGGTCAAAGAGTATGCGCAGTTTTATAGCCTTTTGTGCCTAGTTCCAAGTTGTTCTCCAGAATGGTTGGACCAATTTGCTATTCTACCAACAATTCATTAGGGTACCTTATTTTTCCTCATCCCTTCCAGCGTTCATTTCTAATAGGTGTGAGGAAACACCTCAGAATGTTTTAATTTGCCTTTCTCTAAGCAATAGTGATTTGGAGCATTTTTTTTTAATATAGCTATAGATAGCTTTGATTTCTTCTTCTGAAAATTGCCTGTTTATATCCTTTGACCATTTATCAGTTGGGGAATATCTCATATTTTTGTAAATTTGACTCAGTTCTATACTCCATATATATTTTAGAAATGAAGTCTTTATCAGAAAAAACTTGCTGTAGAACATTTTGATATTGCTTTGTTTTCTATGGTACTTTTAAACAAAATGTTGTTAACCCTTGTTATCCCTTTTAATTAGGTCTGTTTTTGCTTGTGCTTTGTCTGAGATCTTAATTGCTACTCCTGCATTTATTTATTTATTTATTTATGCTCAGCTGAAGCATATTATCCTGCTCCAGCCCTTTATTTTAACTCTGTCTGTATCTTTCTGTTTCAAACACGTCTCTTGTAGACAACATATTGTTGGATTCTGGTTTTTAATCCATTCTTCTACCTGCTTCTGTTTTATGGGTGAGCTCATTCCATTCACATTCACAGTTATGATTTAAGTGTTTACATAAATTCTTACCTCTTTTAACCAATTCTAATGAGAATGGGGTTCAACCATTGCCTGCCATGCTCCTCTTCCCACCCCTGCCATGCTTTTCCCCTCTACTGTAAAAGCTCTTTGTGTGCATCTTTTATGTGAGAAAATTTTCTCCATACTACCTCTGTCTTCCCTCTTCTCCCAGGGTTCACACCTCTTTCCTATTCCTTTTTATTTTTTTGGAGATCATTGCAACATAGTCAATTCATATCCATGCTCTCTCTATGTAAATTCTTTTTAACTGACCTTATAATGATAAAGTTCTTAGGAATTATATGGATCACCTTCCCATATGGGAATTTAAATAGTTTGTCTTTATTGAGACTCTATGATTACTCTTTCACGTTTAACTTTGTATGCTTCTTTTGAGTCTTGTGTTTAAATGTCAAATTTCCTATTCACTCTTTTCATCAGGAATGCTTGAAAGTCCTCTGTTTCATTAAATGTCAACTTTTTTTTTCCCCTGAAGGATTATACTCAGTTTTGTTGGGTAGGTAATTTTTGGTTGTAATTCTAGCTCTTTTGCCTTCCATAATATCATAATCCAAGTCCTCTCCTCCTTTAACGTGGAAGCTGCTATGTGATCATGACTTTGGTTCCACAATATTTGAATTCTTTCTTTCTTGCTGCTTTGAAATATCTTCTGGAATTTGGCTGTAATATTCCTGGAAATTTTTATTTGGGATCTCTTTCATGAGGCGATGGGTAGATTCTTTCAATTTTGATTTTGTCCTCTAGCTCTAAAATATTTCTTTAAAATTGATGTCCAGGCTCTTTTTTTTGATTATGGCTTTTAGGTAATCCAATAATTTTTAAATTATCTTTCCTTGATCTATTTTCCTGGATCATTTGATTTTCTTATGAGATATTTCACATTTTCTTTTATTTTTTTTCATGCTTTTGACTATGTCTTATTGTTTCTTGATGTCTCATGGAATCATCATCTTCCACTTGCCCAACTCTAATTTTTTTTTTTTGTTCAAAAATCTTTAGTATAACAAGGAGGAAGGAAGTGAGTTTTTGTAGCCTCGGCTGCCATGGCAGCCCCTGGCATGCTTAACTTTTGGCCCTGGGATCAGACATATGGTTTGGTGTGGCTATGGGGAGTGCCCAGTGCCTTCCCAAAATGCCTGTACATCTCATGGCCCTTCCAGGGACCAGACAGCAAGACAATGTCCCGGCCCTTGGGCGAGCTCATGGCCCACTGGTCAAAGGTGAGGATCTTCCCACCAGCCTTGAGGATGTGATTCCAGGCATTGCCAATAACACGAAGGGCACACACCTTCAGCTTGGGGACATCCTGGAAACTCACATCATCTGTCACAGTCCCAACAACCGCAGCCATCTTGTTTTTTCTGCCAGGCAGCATCATTTTCCTGATCATTTGGGACGAGGACAAGGGAGCCAGTTGGTCCAGCTCATGAACAGCCTTTTCATTACAACCTTGTGGTAAGTTGAGTTGGTTCTACAGGCCAGGAACCAGTAGACCTTCACAGCAGCCTCAGGTGGATGTCCTGGCTCTTGGGTTCCTTGCGCTGGACTTTCTGGTCCTCGTTGGCAACTCCCATGCTGGCGCCCTGTTGAATACTGGCCCAATTAGGAAAGACCGACAGGCTGTGGAGCAGACTGGGAAGGCTCCAACTCTAATTTTTAAGGAATTATTTTCTTCAGTGAGATTTTGTACTTCTTTTTTCCAGTTGGCTAATTCTGTTTTTTAAGAAGTTCTTTTCTTCAGTGAACTTTCTGCCTCTTTTACCATTAAGGAAATTCTGGCTTTTTTAAAGTGTCATTTTCTTCAATTTTTTGTGCCTCTTTTACCAGGCTATTTATTCTTTTCATAATTTTTCCCCCATAACTCTCATTTCTTTTCCCAGTTTTTCCCCTACCACTCTTCTGGTTGGGCATGGGTCCAGTTAGCATTTTTTCTTTGAGGCTTTGCTTGTAGCTATTTTCATATTGTCTTCTTCTGAGTTTGTGTACTGGTTTTCCTTACCACTATAGTAGCTTTTTATGATCAAATTCTTTTTGTTGTTGTTGTTGTTTGCTCACTTTCCAGTTAATCTCTTGACTTTGAATTTTATTTTAAAGTTGGATTCTGCTCACCTGGGTTGGGGAGTCACTGTGCCAAACTTCAGGTTTTTTTCATGCTGCTGTTTTCAGAGCTAGTTTGGAGGGAGGGGGTTGGTGCTTCCAAGGTGGTGTGATCTTGGGAGAGGTATGATCACTGCTGTTCTGGTCTGCACTCTTCCCTTTACCCAGGAAGATCCTGGTCCCCTGCAGCCATGAGTGTTAGCACTTTCTTTGCCTTAGAACTGTGCCCAAGGCTCCTGCTCCCTTGTGACTAACCCTCAGCACTCTTTTCCACCTTGGAACTGCCTATGGGCAATAGTTAAATTCCTCCATTTGTGTAGGCTCCATAAAAGCGTCTACCCCAGTGTCATAAACTTCTCTGCTAACCTCCTGAATTTTCTTAGGCTGGAAAAATATTGCGCCCTGACCTTTTTTGGGTCCTGCTGCTCCAGAATTTGATTTGAGGCATTATTTTAAAGTTGTTTGGAGGAGAGTGTTGAGAGAATTCAGCTGCGTTGCCTGTAATCCTTTATCTTGAGTCCACCTCCTCCCAATACATATTCTAAATGATTTAGTCATGCTTTTTTTTTAACCTCACTTCCTCATATCTACATCCTAGGATAGAACCTTCCCTCATACAGTTAAACAACCACAAAAATTTAGAGTGTGAAACAATTTTCTAGCCCATGACAACTTAAAAGGTTGTCAAGAAAGGTCTGTCTTACCAGAGTCATGGTAATACAGGAAATCCTGCCCAGGTAGTGCAGGCCACACTTGGAGGCAGCTGCATCAGCAGGACAGCAGCCTCAGGAGCTCTCAGCACACAGAAGGTAGGTGGGGTTGGACAAATGGTCAGAAGAAAATTACAAGAAACCCTTTGCTGGCACTGGGTGTAGCACACTTTGCATCACCCATAAAGAGTTCTGGGCTGTGGTCCCAAGGCTTTTGACTGAGCAGGGGCCCTGGTGTCAGGGTGTTCCAGAGTGGAGAAGAGGAGCGTTATGGCTTGTAACCACAGGATAGCAGGATGCCTGAGGTGCATTTACAGGTCTAGGAGGAGCAAGAGCATTTGTGGCCACAGGCACCCCTCTATGTACTGGTACTGTGACCAGATCCCCTGCTTCTTACGTTAAATAGAGGCAGCAGGTAGCACAGTGGATAGAGTTCTTAGTCTGGAACTGGGAAGACCTAGGTTCAAATCCATCCTTGGACACTTACTAGCCATGTGACCCTGGGCAAGTCACTTAACTTGTGTTATCTTCAGTTCAGTGTCTTCTTCAGCCCTCCTTGGTCACTGTTTGGACCCTGATTGTCTCAGAATGAATATCAATAGCAATTGTTTCTGTTTTGGCCAGAACCTCTGAGGTTCTTCCCTTCCTAGATCTATTTTTTTTTAAGAGGCCATTCTTTGCCTCATTTTTTTAATTAAGCCTTAATCACTGAATGGGCTCTGCCTCAGTCACACTGAAACCTGTTAAAGACTTTAACTTGAAAAGGCCAAGGTCCCCTATGTATCCTGGGCCATCTCCAGTTGTCTTGATCTATATCTGGCCACTGGACCCAGATGGCTCCAGAGGAGAAAGTGAGGCTAGTGACTTTGCACAGCCCTCCCTCACTTAAATCCAATTCACTTTCATGTCATGGCATCACCTCCCTGATGTCATGGTCCTGTTTGAAAATGAAGGACAAACAGCAGCAATTATCATCTCTATACTAATGATTCTCAAATCCTCTTATCCTGTCCCAGTCTCATCACTGGTCATCCAATTTCGCCATGTCCAGTTGCCTTTCAAACATCTTAAACCGGATGTCTTATAGGCATATTAAACTCAACATGCCCAAAACTGAACTCATTCATCTTTCTTCCTAAACCCTACCTCCCACTTAACTTCATTATTACTATCAAGAAACAACCATCCTCCCAGTCCCTCAAGCTTGCAACCTAGGTGTCATCCTCAACTCCTTACTCTCTGATCCTTCATATCCAATCTATTGCTAAGGCCTACCAATGTCACTTGCGACATCTCTTGAATACATGTCCCCAACCCCCACCCTGTCACTGCCACCAGTCTTATGTAGGCCCTTGTCAATTCATGCTTGGATTACCACCATAGTCTGTTGATGGGTCTGCCTGCCTCAAGTCTTCTCTCCCTCCAATTCATCCTCCATTTAGTGACTAAAGTAATTTTCGTAAATAACAGGTCTGATCATATAAACTTCAGTGGCTTCCTATCACTTCCAGGATCAAATACATAGCTCAGCATTCAAAGTTCTTCATACATTCCCCTCCTCAATCTCCCCCCTCTCCTCCGGCTTCTTACACCTTATTACCTGCCACATACTTTTCTATCCACTGATGCTTGTTCATTGCTGTTCTACAAACAAGACACTCTATCTCTCTACTCTGGGCATTTTTTATAGTTATCCACTATGCCTGGAGTGCTCTCTCTCCTCATTTCTACTCATTAGCTTTCTTCAGTTTTCAACTAAAACTTTACATTCCACAGGAAGCCTTCTTATTTCTAATGTCTTTTCTCTTTTATTTATTTCATAATTATTCTGTATATAGCTTGTTTGTATGTATTTCTTTTCATGTTTTCTCCCATGTTAGATTGTGAGCTCCTTGAAGTTAGGGACTATTTTTTGCCTCTTTTTGTGTCCCCAGCACTTAGTATAATGTCTGGCACATAGTAGACTCTTAATAAATGCTTATTAACTTGCTTTTTTGCTAATCAACTTGACTTTTTTTTTGAGGTTGGATTATTTGAGTAAGTACTCTGTTTCATGTTGTGTTGATTTGGGCATTAATTTTTTTAAAGTATTCATTTCATTTATATGGTCAGATTTATTGGCATAATTATTTATTTTTCTTCATTGATTTGGAATTCACTTTTTAAATTTTTGATACTGGTAATTTGGTTTTCTTAAGCCAAAAAGAAATCAATCTAATAGTTTGTGTATATGTGGAAGATAGATCTGATGGTGTAGTGTTGCTATTAAAAAACTTCTGAGGTGATTACCTTACAAGGATTTTCTTCCTTTTCATTGTTCTACTCCATTTTGCTTCTGTCTTACAGTTTTAGATGTTAAGGTAGATAGAGTAGATTGACCAGAACTTTTTCATGTTGCCAGATTTCCCCGAACTATGAATTTTTTTTGGGGGGGGATAGGAGGGAAACTCTAAAGTATATTGGAGTTTTTTTCCCCCTCTTCGTTCCAAGGAACATGAGTTAAGGACATGGAGTTAAGCCATGAAATATTTTTCAGAGATTTTTTTTTCATTTACCAATCAGAAAAAAATTTAGGAGGACTAAACTGTTTTATTGTAGGGTACTTTCAAACTTTGCAAACTTGTGAATATTACTGTTTTTTTTCAAAGCCTTATTTCGGTAGAACAAGAATTTGCAATAGTAATTAGAATTATCATATGCTTTAGGATTGTTCAATGAGTGGGGATAAATTTCTCTCTGCTCATACTTCAACCATTTGAATGCCACTGTTTCCACTGGACTCTTGAGTAGGGGCAGATGTTTAGTGATAAATGTTTTGTGAAAGGCTATAAGCTAAAGGCAGCTAGGTGGCGCAGTGGATAGAGCACCAACCCTGGAGTCAGGAGGACCCGAGTTCAAATGTGGTCTCAGATCCATGACACTTATTAGCTGTGTGACCATGGGCAAGTCACTTTACCCCATTGCCTAGCCAAAAAACATAAAACAAACAAACAAACAAAACCTTTGGGGCAGCTGTGTGTTGCAGTGGGTAGATCACTGGCCCTGGATTCAGGAGGACCTGAGTTCAAATCTGGCTTCAGATACATAACACTTACTAGTTGTGTGACCCTGGGCAAGTCACTTAACCCCATTGCCTAACCCCCCCCGAAAAAAAAAGAAAGGCTATAAGCTTAGTTTTCTAAGCTGTAGCTAACCTTTCTGCCCTCCTTCCCCTCGCTATCCTTTCTTGGAGATAAGATATTATTCAATATCTTATAGAAGTAAATTTAAAAAAAAAATTCTAGCTGGCTAGAATTGTAATCTAGAAGACTTTAGTACTCTTGATTTTCAGTTAAGGAATTTTTCTTGCTTTGCCATAAGGATGCCTTTGTTTTTTATTTTATTTTTTTAAACTCATACTACTATGCATAAGAAGCTGGCTTGCAAGCCTTACCTTTTAAAGGAAGATCTGGTTTCTTTTATAGTAAAATTCTAGATTAATTATTCAGACTCAACTATTCAGTAGCTTATTAAAGGTTGCTTATTTTACTGGTTCTGTGCTAATGGTTTATGTTAGTATAACATGTGGATTTCTTTTTATTTCCTTCTGATATCACAGGTGCGACTTGAAGCAATACAAACATTGTGCTCTGCTCCTCCTTCTGATATATTAAATTGTGAAAACTGGACTACTCTTTGTGAAAAACTTACAATATGTCTTTCAGATCCTGATCCAGCATTTAATGTAAGGAAACATTGACTTATAAAAATGTTAAAGCTAAATCCCTTTATTATGTAAAATAAACTATTTCATTCTTTCTATATTTATGGAATTTATTTCTATAAATGAGTAGCTCAGGAGAATGATGTGCTGAATGCTGGGGACATACAGAATGGGCCAAACAACAGTCCTTTCCCTCAAGGAGCTTACAATATAATGAAACAACAAGAAAACAAATATGTACAGACAAGTTATATAGAGAATAAATAGGAAATAATTAACACAGAGGAGGCACTAGAATTAAGATGAGTTGGGAAAGGCTTCTTGTAGAAGATTGGATTTTAGTTGGGACTTAAAGAAAACCCAAGAATTCGGTAGGATGAGATGAGGAGGGAGAGCATTCCAGGTATGGAGGATAGCTAGAGAAAATGCCCAGAATGGAGAGATGGAGTGTCTTGGTTGTGGAATAGCAAGGAGGTAAATGTCACTGGATTGAAGAGTCTGGCAGGGAGTAAAATACAAGACGACTGGAAAGGTAGGGATTGAGAAAAGGCCAATAGATTTGACAATTAGGAGATCATTAGTAAATTTGGAAAGAGCAGTTTCAGAGGAATGTTGACTTCAGAAGCTGAATTGTAGGGGGTTAAGAAGAGAGTGAAAGGAGAAGTAGAGATACCTATTGCAGATGGACTTCTCTAGGACTTTAGCCACAAATGGCAGAAGAGACATAAGACAGTAGTTTAGCTGTGATGGAAGGATCAAGTGAAGGGTTTTTTGAGAATGGAGGATGCATGAGGACATTTGCAAGCAGTAGGGAGGGGAACAAGAAGAGCTTGCAGATAAGTAATCAAATGGGGTTGACAGAGGGGCAGTCTAATCTGTTAGAGTAAATGGGATGAGCTGGGATCACTTGTGTAAGTGAAGTAGGGGCCTTGGTAAAGTGTAAGGCCACCTCTTTGTGTGAAAATGGGTAAAGAAGAAGATACTGGCAGACAGCATCTGAATGGTGTGAGATGAAGAAGAGGAGAGAAGAGTAGAAGCTTCAAATTTTTTCTGCAAAATATGAAGCAGGGTTCTTAGTGAGAGGTTGCAGGGTACCATAGGAAGGGGCACTATAGGTATAGCTATGGGGTATTTGAAGTGGAATGAAAAAGTTTGAAGATCCACAATGGACAGTGGCATAGTGAGTTGATAAAGGTTTTTTTGTTTATTTGTTTTTGTCTTTCATTGTTTCCTCAGGCTTATCTCAGTGCCTGGCACTAAGTAAGAGCTTAAAAATTGCTTGTTGATTGCCAACCACTGTGCAATATTTAAGTTTGTGTTAGGTAGACAGTTTCTATCAAGTAAATTTTTTAAAATGGTTCTGGTAGTTCATTGTTTTTCAATAAAGCCTTTTGAATAGTTATTTGGTTTATTTTCTAGAAATTATTGCTTTTCAAAAATACATTTTATACATCATTGTACTAAAGTTTATGTTTAAATTCTATAGAATATTTTGTGCAAAATTTGGCAGGATAGAATAGAATATTAGAGCTGGAAATGATCTTTGTGATTTTGCCCCATTTTATAGATGAAACTCAATCAGCAGAGTGAGGTCAATTGACTTGTCCAGAATTACACAGTTAGCTGGTGACACTGTTGGGAATAGAACCCATTATCCTAAGTCGTTGCCTGCTGCCTCAATACTACAATCTGTTTTGTTATATTACTAATACTTATATCCATATAAAGTTATAATATAATGCAGTGAAGATAAATGATTGTATCTTGAAGACTTTAAGATAGATAGTGATACTAATTTTGCAGCTATTGTTACTTTGTAAAATTTTTATAAGGAAGAAAATTTAATTGACCATTACTTGAATGTACTTCAATATTTCAAACACCAGAGGGTGTTGCAGACTACTACAAACTAAGCATTTTTAATTTGTGGTAATCAGAAAAAGGAAAGTGTCTTTGTGAGTCATGTTTTTAATATTTCTGGTGTTCTTTAATTAAAAGATCAAAGAGAGTATCGTGTTATACTTTTGTGTTATACTTCTTGGTTCAGTAAAGATTGTATTCAGTGAATACTTTAACTTTATGAGACTGGCAGTTTAGGAAGCAGTTAAGGTCATTTAAATATTTTATGTAGAATACTTTGATAAGTTTTACTTGTGAGTTAGTAGTCCCCGCTATATTTAATAATTTTACTTGTTAGTGTTTAACAATGGGTCTTTTTATAGCAACGGACAGTACTGTTACTTATTGAAAATAATCAGATGAATCTCAAAATAGGAGAAAAGGTTATAGAAACAATAATTTTGGATTAGGAAATCCAACAAAAAATTATTTTCGTTCCTAGCTTATATGTGCACTAAAATTTTCTTCTAACTTTGATTCTGTGTTTCTTCTAGTGACTGTTTTGTAAAAGATTGTTCCTTGAAGCAGTATATAATAAGCTATAACAACATTAATTGAAATGTTATGAATTCCCACCAATTTGCTATAAATGAAACTTTACACTTGCTAAAGAGTTAAGTGTCTTAAATTTGGCACAAATTTCTCAGGTTTGCTAGAAAATGTTTTCAGTCACTTGGTAGTAGAACTACCTCATGTAGAGCTATGGAAAATAAGGTTTAATCATTACAGTTCAACACATTGCTATATGTCCAAGTTGATACAATTTGAAATTAATGAAAGGGAACATCTGAGTTGCTTAATTGCTTCTATTTCATGTAATTTACTCTAAATAGTTTGACATAATAAATGCATAACATTGAAACTATTTATTTATTATGAAAGTAGAGAGAGAGAATAGGGAGAGAACTGGCTTTAAAGATGTCCTGTCTTTGCCACGTACTGGTTGTTTGGTCCTGGACAAATATCATATACTTTAATACTTAATTGCATTAGCCATTCTAAGTATAAGAAACAGTATATGTAATGTAGTGTAGAGAGTTAGCCTTTGAGTGAGAAAGATCCAGATTCAAGTTAGGCCTCAGACACATCCTGACTGTGAGTGACTGTGGGCCAGTTAAAGCTTCATACATTTCTCTAAGATCCTACCTTGCAGAACACTTAGAGATACATTTATAGAGGTGGTTTTCTTACCAGGAACTCCCTACAGTAATAACATTTTAAGACTGGAGCTCCTTCCCTATTGCCATCAATATGTAGTAGTATTTTTCTTTTCTTTGGGAGTAGGAAAAGGGTAACTAGGGAAATGTTTCTGTTGTGAAACTCAACAAAAAAAGTTGGGACTTGAAAAACAAATAGGGCACATTGTGAATATCTCTTTTTTATAGTTTATCGTCCCATACAGATATTCTAAATTGTGATATATTTTAAAATGTGTTTGTATACTAAAAAAACCCCTCCAACTTGGTTAATTGATGTCATTTTGTAATATCTGCTTTGGTTGGCCAGCATAAGAACGTTTGTTCTTTTATAAATAGGAATCTAATGAATTCTCTTTGCTGAGTTCAATCTTCTAAGGGACCACTCTTTGAAAAATATTAATCTTTTTTGCAAAGTTGAAACAGCCATTTGTTTTGTACAGATTCCTCTTACTTTCTTTAATTGGAATATTTAGTGTAAATTTTCTATCCTTTTTCTGTAGGATCGAATTTTGAAATTCTGCGCACAGACGTTTACTCTTTCACCACTGCATATGACCAAAGAAATTTATACAAGCTTAGGTATGTATGTTATACATGTTTTCTCACATTTTTCATATGCACATATCTACGTATATATTTGTACACATTAATATGTAGACATACACAGCTTGGAAAATAGGTGGTGGATAGCTGTCAAACTACTAAATACGTGGTATAATGATACTATTCTTCTATTACATTTTACCTTTTCAGCCAGACATTTGGAATTATATTTCCTTTCGGGTGAAAACCATATTCCTACTCTGTTGACTGGGGTAGATGTTACACATCCTAATGTGATCCATTTACTTAAAAAGGTACATATTGATTAAACATACATTCCTTTGTATTTAGTTTTATATTTCAGAATTCCTACTTTTCAAATTGTGTTCCTGTCTTCCGTATAGGTGCGCCTTCTAAATGAATATCAAAAGGAGGTTCCATCTTTTTGGATTCGTCACCCAGAGAAGTAAGTCATTTAGAAAATGTCAGATTTAGAAGTATAAATGTGGATGTTACTACTTTTTCCTATATTTCATGTGACACAGTATTGTACTCTATTTTTATATTTAGGAATTGGGATGGGGGTGGACTTGTGATTTAAATGATACATTTATGTATGTATGATTGTCAAAATAATTTTATATTACCCTTTTGTGTTCTTTTCTCAATTACATTGTAATTCTAAACAATTCATCCTGTATAATACATAGGCAGCATAGGATAATTGCTAGACCAAGAAGAGTCTAAAGATTTGGGGTTTAGTGGTGGTTTAGTCATCAACTGCTTGCCAATTCAGACAGTTTATTTTTAAGCCCTCTTAATTCCAAACTGTGGTAAGTTGATTGGTTTTTCTCAGATGGGAGATATATATGTTAATAGGTAAATATGCTTCTCACCCAAATATGAGCAAATGTGGAGTAAAACTGTAAGAATGACAGTATTTTGTGCATTCCAGAAATGATGCACAGGTCTCAGAGTTTCCCAGCATGTTCAAAGATATGTGGTTAAATTGTTCAGGTTCTGGGTCTCTTTGTGGGAAGTAAGAAATAGGTTTAGACTTTTTGACATCTTTCAAGGCCAGTATTTTCTTTAGTAACTTGCTCTCAAATCCTCTGCATTGGTCAGAGTGGATCCTAGCAGGGAGTCCCATCCATTGAAACATATTTTACCAGCAGTGTTTTGACACGGGGTGTTTTCTTGTTTCTGATTATATGTGATAACTAAGAAGAGTCAGAAGATCTTTGTTCTAATCCTCACTCTATTGATACCAATTAGCACTTTAGTTTCTAACTTCTAAGTATGTGACCCTTTGTTTGTGTGTCAGCATTCCTCATTTGTAACACGGTGGTTAGATTAAATGATATCTGTAGTTTATTCCAACTATAAAATTCTATTTTATACTTTATAAAAGGAGTATGGCCCAGAATAAGCTAAGGAATTAAATTATATTAATTTTGCCCCAACAGAAATGCTGCCATTGTCTTCAAGAAGAATAAAGTTTACAGAGATAAAAATATTTTTTGTCTTTCCTGACATGTATATTTTAGTCACTTTGGGAATTTCAAGGAATAATGGAATAGAGATAAAACCTCATCTTAAGTTGCCCTAATTACAGGGTTTCTGATAGTTTCTGATAGCTGCTTTAGATGTACTCACTCATATAAGAAAAGTACAAAACATGTTCTCTGCTTTCCTATCATCTCAGCGTCCCACTAGCCTGGTTTGGGAAAATGAGGCTGCATATGTAACTGGAGTCCAGACAAATGGTCCTTTCCAGGACACAGATATAACTCCTTTTAGGACATACATCGTTTCTGGATGGCTTTTAGATGTGAGGGTCTGGTAGGTTTTATATTGAGGGAGACAAAAGGAGATGGTTCCTCTACAAAATGCCCTAGAATAAACAGACCTCACATTCCTTTAGAGTATCAATCACTCAGTAGGCCAGTTAAGGCTACATGTAGGGCTTGTTCCCCAGATGGCGTCATGAGAGTCAGATATTACTGAACAACAGCAAGAAAAGAGAGAATTCCTTTAGTGGTTAGGGGCTGTACTCATGAATATTTGTTCAGCATGTTAGCTGTTTTTATTTCCTTGTCCTCCTCTTCTTAATGAAGGGCCCCGATTTAACTTGCCCAAATCAAGCTGTGTATTCTTAATGCTAGCTGGCTGTGGTTCTAAAGTACACTCTTGTGCATCAAGCTATGCTTTTGGGTGTCCAGCTTCCTTTTTGACAGTACTGCTAGTGGTAGAACAAAGAGTAACATATTCGTAATTTGAGGGAATTGGGTTTGGCATCTATATTGTTTTAATAGCTACTCCAAAGAATCAAATACTTGGAGTTGCACAGTCGAGAGTGTTGATATTTTCTTGTGGCTATGAAACCTATGCATATTTTTAAACAAGGTGGGAAAAAAAAGTATCTACTGGCTCTAAGAAAAGGAGTTGAGAGATGATCATCCCTATACAAAGAATAAGTAGTTTTACCTGAATTGGATCTATTGGCTACTTCTAATGATAGGTAATTAAGGTGATATGACATGACAAGTAAGTGGCAAATCTGTTTGATGATATTGGACACATTATAGAGCAGGAATTCCTAACCTGAAGTCCATGAATGTGCTTTTAAAAAATATTGTGATAACTATGTTTCAGTATAGTTAGTTTCCTTTGTAATCTAATGTATTTTGTTTTAGTCCTTTAAAGACATTATTCTGAAAAGGGGTTCATAGGTTTCACCATACTGCCAAAGGTCCACAGAAAGGTTAAGAATACCTCATAGAGGTTGAATCGGGAGATCAAGGTTCAGATAAAATTGGGGTTTATGTTCTGGGTAGGAATGAACTTGGCAGAAATCAGGTCTGTGTGTGTACTAGACATAATTTTAATTGTCATATATGAGTTGGGTCAGAAGACGTCAGTTAGTGCCTTGTGCTTGAACTAGAAACAAAGAATGAGATTAATGGTATACTGGAGAAAAAGAACAGAAAATTCAGAGAGGTCATTATTTTAACAATGGTAAGATGTGAGTTGATTTTTCTTTTTCTACTACCCTTCACTTTTCTTCCTGCTCCCCAAAGTTTATATGTGTGCCCTGAATGATTGAGGGCATATATTCTCATATATAAATATGAATATATATAAATATATACACATACACATATACACATACGTATATATACACACATATATATGTACATTCATTATTACTTCTCACACAGACAGCTGTGAGATAGATAGACGATAGATATATGTCTAGCTGTATCTGTCTGTCTGTCTGTCAATCTATATATATTCACTGTTACTTCTCACAGCTATCTGTGGGACCAAATCATTCAAGCAAATGGCCAAAGTTTTTTTCTTGCTACTTTACTTGATCTCTGTTATTTGCTATTAAATTCATGCCTACTCTGTCCCTTTTGGTCATGCTTTTCCTCTTGCTTAGAATATCCTTCCGTCTGTCCTTCATTTAAACAAATTTTAGATATTCTTCAAGACCGATCCACTTTATAAATCCTTTCCTGATAATATCATTCCTCATTGATTTCCAACTTTTCTTTATTTTAGAAACATGTATTGTCTTTATCACATTTTTAACTTTAAATTGAATGCTGCCTTGTAATGTCCATTAATTAATATATCTTAGTCTATTTGTCTACCGGGGTGGAGAACCTCTGGCCTCGGGGCCACATGTAACCTTCTAGGTCCTTGATGCTGCCTTTTGACTGAGTCCAAGTTTTACAGAACAAATCCTTTAATTAAAGGGATTTGTTCTGTGAAGTTTGGATTCAGTCAAAGGGCCTCACTTGAGGACCCAGAGGGCCACATGTGGCCTTGAGGCTGCAGGTTCCCCACCCCTGGACTAAGTTATAGTCTTCTGAAAGATGGAGACAAAGTTGTACACGTTTCCCTTATTCCTTACCTTATGAATATGAATATTGTATGTACCCAATAAGTACTTTACTAATTCTTTTTATCTTTTGATGATTTTACATGGGAACTTTTCCAAATGGATATGTTAGTAAGTCGATGAATGAAAATCAGAGGACTATAGACCTATCCTTATTTCCATGGGTATTATAACTTCACTTTAGATGATTGTAGCATAATTTCTAATAATGTACCACTATGTCAAACCTCCTACTTCTCTTTTTTTCTGTCTTAAGGGATATACTTTCCTAACCAATTGATATTTCGATAGAGGAACAACTTTACTAGAAACTTTTCTTCCATTTCCTAGTTTATTGCATCATTTCCTTTCATTTTAAAATGAAATGTTATTAAAAGCTGATGTAGTATTAAGGTGAACTGCTAGTCAAAATTTCCCATTTGAAGAATATCAGATCAGTCAATGCTATTTATTGTCTTATGCCTTAGATTTCTTTACATATTAATGAACTATTCAGTTTTTGGAATCCAATACAAAGAAAAATATTTGTTAAAATGTGTATATTAAAATAGCAAATGTACATTTAAATGGACTTTAAATGGTATTTATTTATAGAAGTTATTTTGACTGTTATTTTGTCATGTTTGTCTTCTTGATCTTTTAATAACAAATAATATTAATCAGTAAACTTTTTAAGGAGTTAACTAAGTGTCAGGCACTGTGCTAAATATTGGGAATACAAAAAGAGGCAAAAGACATTCCCTTCTCTCAAGGAGCTCACAGTCTAATGGAGAGACAACAAAATAATATATACAAACAAGCTGTATATAGGATAAATAGGATATAGTTAACAAAGAGAAGACACTAGAATTAAGAGGGCTTGGAAAAGGTTTCTTGTAGATGGGATTTCAAGGAAGCCAGTGTCACTGTATGGAAGAGTGGAAGTATATTACCACCGCAAGGTAATGATGTAGGATGAAAAAAACTTCATTGTCTTTGGTATTCACCTAATAATAAAATTTACAGGTTTTGAAAATAAGTAAGAATATTACACATGAATTCTTGATTATAGAGTATTAAAGCTTTGCTTTTTTGTTACAATTGAAGTAATTTCAGTGTCTTGATTAAATTCCACTCAATTAATTTGATTAGATTTGGATTATTTTTTCCATTAAATTAAAAAAAACTTTTTCCGTTATCTTAAAAGAATTGTAAAAAGTTTCTGTGAATCATTAAATAGTTCCTAAGGGTGACTGTATTTTAGTAATGGGAAAAATACCTTCTGTGCTCTAGATTGAGGTAATGGTTTTGGAACATTATTGTAAGATGTTGCTTATTTGAAAACATACCTAATCTAAAATATTTTTTAAATATGTGTGTTAATCCTTTTATCTTCCTTCCATGAATTAAAGTGAGGAAATTGGACTACATGACCTCTAAGGTTACCCAATTCAGTGATCCTATCCTAAAGAATATATTTAACATAATAACATAGACTATTTATTCTAAAAATAATTTTAATTTTTTTTAAATTTTAAGGTATATGGAAGAAATTGTGGGGAGTACTCTGTCACTATTATCAATTCAGCATGACCAAAGTTTACTTGTCTCACAAAAGATTTTGGATCCAATCTATTTTTTGGCATTACTTGATGTCAAGGCTGTGTGGTTCAAAAAATGGATGGTAAGAGAAAATGAAATATGTTGATACATTGTAAGTACCCTAATATTATGCTTAATGTGTAAAGTTAGGGAACTTTAAAATGTGTTAAAAACCATTTATCAAATGAATACTTATTGAGTGCAATATAATGTTAAATTATTTTAGATCAGTATATTTTCATGAAAAATTTAATATTTTATTTATTTATTTGTTCTTTTTATGTTTACAATTTTAAATAGGTATAGTAGAACACTGGGGGGAAAACATTTAATTTATCTTGTGTCATCAATTGATGGCAGAAGCTTGAATGTGTGATTCAGAAAATACATTTTGGATACAATTGTGGCCACTGACATTTCTCCAGGAACCTTCTGGAGCTTGTTAGTGGTGAACCCCTCTCTCGACAAGGTTTTCTCTTATGAAAAGGTGCTGCTGCCTTTAATAGCATCTGCTAATAGTTTTAATAGCTGTTTCAAACTGTGCCACTGGAGTAGTGCTCATGCTCCCTAACACAGAATGATGGAGCTTTGAAAAGAAAGCAGACCATGTCTATTACTTTAGGATAGAGTAAAAGTTTCTGATACAACTCATGATAGGTCATACATTGGTGCGTTTTGTCTTTTCCCAACTATAAAGTAAAATTGTGATTAGCAATACCCAACAAACTGGGACCCTTAGCAAGAATATTTTTTTTCCTGCATTTGATTTTTGAGAAAGATAAAAGTAACAATATTTACTTGGAATTTTAAGGTAATCTGAGAGTAAGCACAAAAGTAAGTAGATCTGAGAGTAAGCACAAATTGATTCCATTATATTACGTTATTTATCTAGATCTCTGTTTCTGTCCCTAAATGTGTGGGAAGGGCATGATAAAAGCCAACCTCTGCTAGGAAGATTTAGCTTCAAATCCTGTCTGTAGTACATATAGATTGAGTGACCCTGTGTACCCGAAGTGACCTTAATCTTTCAGTTCCCCCGGCAATTCTTTAAGAGGATAAATTGCTGAGGAGAGAGGACCATTCTACATTGCTAGAGGGTGTTTCCTTAACTAGAGTTCTCTATTCCTTTGAAAACCTAGATTCAGTCTCTCCTAGCTTAATATATTTGAGTAGTGAATATTTTTCTTCTGTCCCATCTCTAAATGAAAAAATAGTTTTGTGAAATGCATTTATTCATTTCAGCTCTCCTGATTGCTTTGGTTCTAATCCAATGCTAATAGAGAAATCTGCCTGGTGCTGATTAGGATGACTGAAAACTTAATTTATTGTGTCATTAATTATGTAATTATTGGAAATGATGCAGAAAAACTGATTTTGGGGGGTTATAATTTGAACATTAAATGAAGTCTAACATATTTTTCTCCCTAATTTTAGCATGCATATTATAGCAGAACTGTGGTATTACGACTTCTTGAAAAAAAATATAAATCTGTGGTACGTACAAATGTACAAGAATTTGGAGGAAATAGTATTGCTAAAAACCAAAAGCTCATGGACCAATCTTCATAATCAAAGTATCCAAAGATAAGTGCACTGGTATACAAATTAAGCTGAATCCTGAGTCAAGCTCTTAGTTAACCTCTCAAACCAGAATTCCTTAAAGCTCAAAAGTACTGAAATTGAAAGCCCTCAAATGAGAGGGGAGTAGAAAGGAGGGGGGAGGAAGGAGGCCAGGAAATGCATAAGGTTAGTGCTAAAGTAATGTTCTACAAATAATTAAAGAAAGGAGCAATCTTGTAATATACATAATGTGATTTTGAGCAGGTATTAATAGAAGAAAAAAGTATTAGATTATGTGGAAAACACCTTAAACTATAAAGAAAAGATATAGCAAAACTCAGGAACAAGAAAAAAATTTTGAAATTTTTCCAAAATTAGTTTAAGAATTAAAAATAATAAATGGACAAGAAACTTGAAGGGATAATTAGATTACATTATAACACACATTAGAAAAATCCCATTAAAGGAATTACTGTGAAACTTTTTTTAAAGAAATATTCTGTATCATACAGGATAGTGGGAAACCCTAATTAAACATCTGGAAAGAACAAGAATGCATTAAATATATTATAGATGTACATATTTCTTCTCCCCCTTATGCAAGGCTTTATTGAACAAAGAGGTAATAGAACAGAAGTTTGAACTCACCTAGGTCACAGCTTGTCTTTCCCTTTACCATTTTGTGACGAAGACATGGAGAAGCATTTTAAGATGTAACACTTTCTTCAGTTAGGTAACAGTTCTCCAGTCTTTCTCATGACTTACTTCCATGTTAATTCTTTTAAATGCAGTCATGCGTATAATAGCAGAAATACATATACACTCATACAGACTCAGCAGTACTAATCCCAACTGGTAGTAAAAGGATAATAAAAATGTTTGAAGTCAGTTCATTTATGTGAAAAGTTTAATATGTGATAATTTAGTCTTATAGATGCAGCAAAATCTTGTGATGTAGCTGTTTATAATAAAGTGGATCCTATTGTATGATAGGTCGTTAAATCATACCCCATTATTTACAGAGTGCTATATATTACACAGTAATATGTAAACTTTATATTATTCTTATCCCCTGAAGTCAGCATTATAAGAGGGTTCTGTTGTTATTAGAAAAATACTTTGGCCCACATATGTTTTCATAAACCTTTGTTAATTAAGCACATCATATTGATCTAATTCATCTGAGGGCAGTAATTTTCAGCAGCCTGAAAAAGCACAGTCCTAAATATTGTGAATCATAATTTCCTATTATTTTCCCAGAGCATTTTTTAAGAACTGACCTCATTTATCTTAAAACCTAGAATGAGGAACTGTGCAGATTTCTAGGATGCTTACAATTTGTGATTTTTGATAGATAACGTCATCAGTTCAACAGTGCATTCAGTATTTTGAATCATGTGAAAATATGAGATCTGACGAAAATTTGATATGTCCCAAACATTGTGGTAAGTGTCATTTTCCTTGAGTTAGAAAAAGAAATCAACTTAGTTTTTTTTCTTAACAAATATAAACATTGTTTAGAAACAAACATCATCAATGTTATTTTTCAGATAAAGTAGATCTAGGTAATTATGTTAACTCTTAGACACCTATAAAAGCAAACCTTTCCACAATGTTAAATATGTCACAAATGATTAAAATTTTAGAATAATTACATAATCATGCTAATTTCTTCACCATGTGTAATTATTCAGTTTGTTTTATGGGATGTTTCCTAGTTCAGATTATTGCAACAGACTTCTTTGTAGATCATTTTAATGTCAAACTTAACTCCAAGAAGCCTTCTTTGACTTCTTGGCACCTACTGATTGCTCTTTTTTTGTGCTCTTTTTGTACCTAGTTTTTGTCTCACTATTAAATGGTTGATTTTATAGTGTCTTTTATTTTTCTGTAGTAATATTATATATAGTCTCTTCTAACTTGGTTGTAAGCTCAATGAGGAGTAAAGACATTGTTTATACTTCCCATGTATTCTAGTAGTAACTAGTCCAATACAGGACACTGAGTAAGTGTCCAATAAATAGGAAGGGTACTAGAGGCAGATGCTTTGACGTAGAAGGGATTTACCCAGTGGCAGGATTTTAACATGCGTGATTAGGCAGATATAATTATAGTATATGTGTATTAGAGAAAGAGTAATCATAAAAGTATATAAACATAATTATAATTGGAGGTTTGAGAATTTCAAATTTTGTTGGAATTAAATATTTATTTATTTGGTTTTTAATTAAGCATCTTCATGTCCCCTCATTTTAAAAATCTTTGTTGATGTTGAAGGAACTTAAATATTAGGACTTCCCTTTGGTGTCTATTATAAACACCAAAGTGTAATAGCTACAGAAATTATACTCTTCCCTGCTATTGAGGCTTGTTAAATTTCATTATGACTGCTTTCCTACACAGACTTAGATGAGAAGGAGATTTGTATCATGTGAAAATATGCTAGTAAGGAAACTGTCAAATTAGAGGAATAACAAGATTTTTTATTTGTACCAGAATTTTCTCTATTAGACTGTTAGCCACACAGCCTTTAGAAAACAAAACAGATAACTCTTATAAATTAAATTGCATTAAAATGTTTTTTTAAATTTGTTTTTCTTTTAAGGGAATAAGCAGAAGACTTTCTATTCAGGACAAGAATTACAATATATTTATTTTGTTCACTCACTATGCCTGTTAGGAAGACTATTGATCTATACACAAGGCAGAAAACTATTTCCTGTAAAACTGAATAATAGAAAAGGTAATGACAACTAGATTAAGTGAAAATTGTTCACAGTTCCCAATAGATAGTCTTTAAATAGATTCAAAATATATGTTTAAATTACTTGCCTTTGTTATATAACATTGATGTACTTTTCAGAAAAGAGAATGCTAAGAGTAAGAAAGTGATACTGTTTCTGTTAAGCAATTACATATTCACTTAAATGCTAGAGGCACCTAAGTTTTGCCATGAGATAATTATCCTCCTAGATTTTGTCTGTTCCTCGACCAAATATTTCCGTTGTTTTAAAAAGCACTAATGGAACTACATAGTATTTTACTTCTTAGCTTTCATGCCTTTTAAAAGGAAATTTCTTTAAATTTGACCATACAGAGTACGAAAGAAACTCAGATATTATTAAATCCAACCACTACAGAAAGTATGAATTCAGTTTACCTTTCTTCACAAGTAGTTTTAAATTTAGTCTGCTTAAAGACCTGTAGTTAAGGGGAACTATTTTAACTGAAGTTGATTGGTCTAAATTTTGCAAATCCTAAAAGAATAGCCATTTTCTGTTCTGATTGCCTTGACTTTTTTCCCCCATTGAGTTTAACTATAATTTTGAATTATTTCAATTCAGTTGAAATGGAAAAACTGCATCTTAAAATGGCTTATTTTGTTGGCTGAGTATACAAACTGAGTTTCTGTTTGTTTCCTTTCTACCTCCCCTTTGTCTAATTTGTGCCTGTAATTTTTTTTTTCATTTATTGAACAATGATTATTAAATGTGGGTCAGCCCCCTCCTCCCTATCTCTTTTGGAAAGCTAGTCCTTCAGGGCGTAGGACATAGGAGTAGGAGCAAGTAATTCTGGTTCATAAATTTGTGAGTCTAAAGTAGTTACATGTATATTAGAGACCATTTTTTTTCTTCTCTGATTTTTTTAGATTCAGTATCCCTTACAGATCTGCTGGTATTGTTTACCCGCCTTATCTATTACTCTCCAAGTTGTCCAAAAATGACAGCAACAGCACATGCAGGTAATTCTGTCTTTATTTTTTTAATTGGTAGCAATTAAGGATTTAAGTATCTTAAGATTATCTATGTTACATGAAGAATAAGAAACAGCTTAGTTGTATGTACAACAAAAATCTATTTTAGTGGAATTTTTTTTCTCTTTTCTACAGTTTTTAAGTGTAAATTACATTTAACCACGTGCATTTAATGAATTGCTCTATTTGTTTGTGTCACCTTCTACTTTTTGTCTCCTCTGTATTTTAAAAAAAATTTATTGGTACCCTTTTTTTGCATCTCTATTATTACCCGCAAACTTGTCTCATAAAAGTCATTCTTTGGAACAGATCTGTACATTTATTTGTCCATCACAAAAAAGACAAACATCACATGTTATGAAGATGTTTGAAAAATTTATCTTGCTAGATCTTTTGATTTTTATTATTTCTTGATTTTTCTTGGAGTCATTAGTTTCCTTTTGCCCAATTTTAATTTTTAAGGAATTATTTTCTTCATTGTACTTTTATACTTCCTTTTCCATTTGGCCAATTATACTCTTTAGAAGAGTTCTCTTTGGAGATTTTTTTGTGTATCTTTTTCCATTTGGCTAATTCTGCTTTTTAAGGCGTTTTTCTCTTCAGTGGATTTTTGTGTCTCTTTTATCATTTTTCCTATTCTGTTTTTTTATTCTTCTAATCTGGGCGATTTATATTTTTGTAAACATTAACCTTGAATTTTAGTTAATAGAGATTTAAAAGGTGGGAGTCCATTGTTCATACAAAAGCTGACTGAAATTTCCAGGTTATATGGCAAGAGGAGGTTCTCTCTAGGAGTTCAAGGATGCCTCCATTGTCCATCTCTATAAAGGTTAAGGAAACTTCTTGTGACACTCAGAGTGGGGAGGGATCTCTCTCTTTTAGTCATTGCTGGCAAGATTCTTGTCTGAGTCCTTAATAGGCTGATCCTTCACCTGGAAGATGGTCATCTACCTGAGAGCCAGTGTGGCTTCAGAAAGGGCCAAGGAATGATTGATATGTTGTTTGCTGCCTGACAAGTCCAGGAGAAATGCCAGGAGCAGAACAGACATTGGTATACAAGGTTCATCTGACCAGTGCCTTTGATACTGTCAGTCATGAAGGCTTATGGAAAATTATGTCAAAATTTGGTTGCCTGGAATTCATCGTATTGTACGTCAATTTCATGATAGCGTGCTTGCCTAGGTTCTAGATAACGGAAGATTCTCTCACACTTTCCCACTCACCAATGGAATGAAACAAGGCTGTGTGCTTTCTCTCATGCTTTTTAGCATGATATTATCCGCAATGTTGTCAGATACCTTCAATGAAGATGAACACAGCATCAAGGTCAGCTGCCACACTGATGGTAAATTCTTCAACTTGAAAAGGCTACAGGCTAAGACTAAAATAGAGGGAGTATTGGCGGATGATTTTTTATTTGCAGATGATTGTGCACACAGTGCAGCCTCAGAAGCTGAGATGCAACAAAGTATGGATTACTTCTCTGCTGTGTGTGCTAATTTTGGCCCAACAATGAACACCAAGAAAACACAGGTCTCCACCAGCCAGCACCACACCATCTATATGTGGAACCATCAGTTACAGCAAATGGAGAAGTTTTAAATGCTGTGGTTAAGTTCACTTGTCTTGGCAGTATACTTTCCAGGGTCTTACATATTGATAATGAGATTGTTTCACACATTACTGGAGCTAGCTTATTGTTTGGGAGACTCCAAAGGAAAGTTTGGGAGAGAATAGCTATTAGACTGACTATCAAGCTGAAGGTCTCCAGAGCTGTTGTGCTTACTTCATTGTTGTATGCCTGTGAAATCTGGACAGTGTACCAATGCCATGTTAGGAAACTGAATCACTTCCATTTGAATTGTCTTAGGAAGATTCTGAAGATCACTTGGCAGGAAACGGTACCAGGCACTGAGGTCCTTCCTTCAACTAAACTGCTAAGCATTAACGCTGTATTGCGAAGAGCACAACTCTGATGGGCTGGCCATGTTGTATGTTGTTCAAATACCAAATGTCCCCTTGCTTAAAAGACTGTTTTATGGTTAATTCACACAAGACTAGCACTCACAGTGTGGTCAGAAGAAGCAGTACAAGGATACTCTTAAGGTCTGTCTGAGGAACTTTGGAATTGATTGTGTGACAAGGGAGACAGGACTGCCCAGTATGGTGTGCCGTCATCAAAGAAGGTACTGTGGTCTATGAGCAAAGCAAAATTGAAGTAGCTCAAAAGAAATGTGAGATGTGCAGATGTAGAGAATTCCCCCCAAATGTTCACACAGACTGTTTGTGCTCGACCTGTGATAGAGCATTCCAAGCTCATACTAGTCTGATCAGCCACAGTTGTACATACTGTAACTTGACTCTAACGTTGTGATGTTATTTTGGTCCTCCTCCAGAATGAAGGACAAGAACCTAATACTTATGCCTGTGTGTGTGTGTGTGTGTGTGTGTGTGTGTGTGTGTGTGTGTGTGTGTGTGTGAGAGTGGTGTTATGAAATAAAACATTTTTGCAATTGAAATTATTCTAGATTGTCATACTTTAATTTAGTAAGTTTTATGTTAATATTTAAAGAATATTGTTCTATCTTAAACAGATTCCCAGTATTGTGGTTTCTTTCTTTATTTTGAATACTGCATCTCCTTTTAATTACTGTATTAAGTAATATGTATTTTACTCTCAGTATTTAGATATTTGTTATTTAGTTTGGGAATTATTAAGGATCATTTTCCCTCTTTTTGCTTGCTTCTTCTTTTGGCTCTACCAGGACTTATTTTTATCCCTAATGGGCAAAAGAAATGTAGGAATATGTAACTTTAATCAGTCACTTTTGTTAATTGTTAGCTGTTCTCTGTCAATGGAAATTTTGCTTATACGAGGTGTATCTATCACTTTCAGATATGCATAGATTTTAAATGCATCTACATATTATTTATTTCTTTGTAGTCATTAAGTCTTCAAGTTTTCACCTTGTTCCCAGTTAAGAAAACAAAGGTTCTATACTTCATCTTTGGCCATTCACTTATTCCTTTAGTGCTTCTAAGCCACCAGCTTCAAAGGAGGAAGATTACCATATAAATGCAAGTCTCACAATAGATCTGTTTCTAAATCATCCACTTAGCTTAGAATACCTTCTCTCTAATTCATTGACTTGCTTGGTATGTTATATCAAAGCTCTAGTCAAGTTGTATCTTTCTCCCTGAATATCAAAAAAGAAAGTCATAGAAATTTAACATGGAAATGAACCACATCCTTATCAGATTCAGCCACTGTAAAAACCAATTTGAATTGTTTATGTAGCATTTTGGTTCAGTGGGTCCACAGTAGATTATTGAAACCTAAGGTCTGATTTCATCTAAGGATTTAGAAAAACATTTTATGTAATCCAAGCAAGTTACTTGCCTTCCAAGTATCTGTTTATTCTTACTTATAAAATTTAAATGAGGAAAGTCATATATATCAAAACATTCAGTCAATGAGCACTTTCTCTGTTGTATTCTTAGTATCTTTTCTAGATTATTTTTTTAAAAAAATAATTGTGCACAATTATATAGTATTTTAAGGTTTACAGAGTGCTTTTCACAAATTATTTCATTTGATCCTCACAGCAATCCTATGGGGTACTGTCTTTATTCCCCTTTTACAGATAAGGAAATTGGGAGACAATAAGGTATAATGACTTGCCAGGGTCACACAACTGCTGAGTATCATAGGTGAGGCTTTGAACCCAGATCTTGTCTCCACATCCAACACACTGTCTATGTTCCAACACAGAATTTGATGTTGCTGGAACATTTATCATTCAATGTTGTTGTTTAATTTTCTATGTCTACAGTTTTCTATAGAATAATTTTGGAAAGGGGTGTGGGTTTTGTCAGATGACCTGAATTCAAGTACTGACTCTCACATTTCTTAGCTGTGTTGATCTTGGGCAAATTCCTTGTGTTAATAGGACATAAATGTATAGCTAGGCATAACCTTAGAGCAGGGAATGATAAGAGATTTTAAGAGGAAGGGAAGAGAGGAAGAGGGAGCTCATGGCAATTGACTTCTATTTTCTCAGTGAGGTAGGAGGTAGGTATATTCCTTAGCTAAGAGGGAAGAGGGGTGTGTGGGAGGTTTGAGGAAAGACAAGGTTTGGGACAGCAGGATAAAGACAATTTTATGGTGGGAATAAATGAATTGCCTGTTTGAGGTCAGCTAACATGCTGATCTACTGTATCTAATATGAAGGTTATATGACATCATCCAGATCCAGACAGCATTATTTGAGTAAGAGTTGAAGAGGTAGTAGGTGGTTGGAGTAATTCAGAGCTGGGATTTGACAAAGAATGAGTAGTGATACTACAAGGAGGTGAGATATTGAAAAGTTGATGATAGTATGGAACAGAACTGGCTAACTCCAGGTTTAAGAGAGGAAAGGGAATTTATATCTATTGGTGGACCCTCTTTTTGTGTGGCTGAGGTAGAGTGGAAGAGTCTTGGGATTTGAGGAGATTGAGGAACTAGAAGGTTAAGGTATTTGAGGTAGCATCAACATATATGTTGAAGTCCTCCAGTACAAAGGCAGGAGTTGGAGAAGTGAAGAAAATGAGCTACATATTAATCTCTTTGAGAAAAAAGAGGAATGCCCTGAGGGCCAGTAGGCCACAGCCACTGTGATCTGGATTGATTTAATACAGTGAAATTCAAAGTAGAGTTTGCCAAGTGATGATGGCAAAGGAAGATTGTGAAAGTAGGTGTAAGGAGTATTCCAACTCCCTTCCAGGACTGGTATTTTTAAGGGCATGGAAGAAAGTATAGCCAGTGCTAGAGACAATGGATAGGGAGTCATCTGGGGAAGATAGATTTCACTGAATGCTACAAAATGGGGAGCGGATAGGAGACGTGTTTATTAAACACTTACTATGTGCAAGGCACTGTGCTCGATTTAAACCCAGTTCCTTCAATCCATTGTTCTTGTCATGCTCCTTTTGGGACTCAGTTTTCT